CATCGTGACCTGCAAGCATGGCACCGAACTCCGAAACACGGCCTGCTTCAGACTGCGGCAGGCGATGGGAACGGTTCACCTTCGTCAACCGCTCGCGGCGATGGCAACACTCATGTGTGAGCCGTGGGAAGCCGCAGTTCAACAAACAAATCTGTGCTGCCCCCATGGCTTTCGTCATGCCAGGACGCCAGCACCAGGATCTCATGGAAGGAGGCACAGATCTGCCGATGCATTGAAGGAGCCGTCCAGGGCTGCAGCATCTGCAGTTGTGCAAGTTATGGCTCAAGATCAGGTCGAGAGGGAAGGTGTTCGACATCCGAGCAACTACAGCTGAAATTTGTGCAGGAGCAACTCTTGAGGTGAAGCTTCTCTGAAAAGGACGAAACCAGCACTTGAAAGACTCCCCGTTCCAAGGGAGCTGTCAGCTCTGAGACCTTCGCCAAAACTTGGTCAAGAGACTGTTCGTAGTTTTAGTTTAGAAGTTGAAGGAGGAAGAACCGCCAGACTAGGCGCGCTCTACTGGGTACAACGGGCAGCGTTACATTTTTTCAGACTTTGTGGTAGTGAAATGACATAAAGACTCAGGGACAGGCTAGCATGCTTTTTCTGGCGCTAGCCACCGCACATCTCAAGTGTGGAGGAGAGTTGTCCGGCTGTCAGGCCATGCAGTGCTCTTGGTGCTGACACCTCCTCACGTCGCGAGTGCGAAAGCAGTCTTGTGCTCGGAAGCCCTGCTGCTGCAAGGTCAGAGCGGCTGGTCGACTAGGACTAGGACCAGGATGGCACATGCAACGCAAGAGCCGCTCAAGTTGAAGCTTCGAAGGCCGGCGCTGATGCGTCGCGGACGGCCCTCTCTACGGCAGCAGACATGCACTGGTCGACCTCGGCATTTCACCACACTGAGAGAGTATGACAGCTATGAGGCCCTACCATATCGTGTGACATTGGTACCTTGTGTTGTGTTGCACGGCGCTTGGTATTCTCTTAACTCCATGGATCCATGAAGCTGCATCATAACGACTTGAATTCCACTGCTTCTCCGGGCTCGTGCGATTCTGTCGTTCGAGGCCCCAGGGCTTTGAGCTGGGGGCTTTCGCGATTTTCGGCCTTGGCGATTTTCGAGCCTTTAGGGATTCGGGTTGACGCCTGTAGGTTGTAAGGCAGGTACTGTACGCCATACCTCCCACGTCCGCCGCAACACCAGAACGTTGCATGGGGCTCTTACTCAAGTCGTTTCGCTTGAAGTGGAGAATGCTGCGAGGCCTGCGAATTCTGCTGTAGGGTCGGAGAGGTTGCAGCTGAAAATCTGATAGGACTCTATATCACTGCACCGTGGACTTAAGGAACTGAAGGCTCATTACCTCAAGTGGGCCTCTAACTCTTGCTAGTGACACTAAAGCAGTCTGGTTTGTGGGACAGTCTCGCAGCGTTTCCCAAGTCTGTATCCATGCAGATCCAATGCACCAAGAAAGGTCTTGTGGCCATATGGGGAAGCTTCACATGCGATTGAAGCGATAAACCTCCGTTGATTGAGGGGATCCGATAAAAGAAGATACACGAAGAAGCCAGACTCGAAGTCTGGTTGTCGAAAGACTTGAACTGTTTTCGGGGACTCATAGACTCTTGGCCTGCCCTGGTCTTCCATTCCGACAAGGATCCGTCCAGGATCCGCCAAGGCATGCACATCCACCATGTTCTCCTCACCGAGGCTATAATCTGATCTTCTTTTGCATGTCTGCGGGAAGCCGGATTTCAGACCATGGCGACAGATCTAGGTGACCGCTGTCTAGGTAGCACGAGAAGTACCTGTTCAAACCAACTCCGAACTCTTGGAGTCGGGTCCTTTCGATGTATTGAGTTGCGAGCAGCCACACGGCCGTCGAGTTTAGGTGGCATGCAGTGGGCTGCTTGAATAAGCTAAGTGTAGCAGGAGCCAACACACGAGCCAGTAGTGACCAACACCTAAGACGCAAAGCCGCATCTCTCGGAAGAGTCTCTACGTAAAGAACTAGCCAGGCTTGACCGAAGTATCAACCCCCACCACCCTAAACGCTCGATTCCTCAGCAAGGGCAGAATGCTGTGACCTCTGCGCGCAGCACTCGGATCCCCGAACGCGCAGACTCGAAATCGCAGGCCAAAACATTCCCGAAAACTCCGGATGCTCTAGACCTGGATGGCGGACTATATCGTCGTGAAAGGAGCTATATATCCCTTCTTGAAAGGAGCCCTCCTTTCGCAAACCTTTGAAATCAGCTCCCGGCAAGCCTCTGCTTGGAGTGTCCCAGGAACCCAGAAGAGCTCAAGCCGTCAACAGAAGAGTAAGTTCAACAGCCCTGCATCCCAATACTCAATCGAACCTGAAGCAGAAGCTGTATCCTGGTCCACGCAGATCGCCCTGTGCAACTTCCGGCGCGCCGGTTGCCTCTTCTGCCAAGGCGTGTCGTGGAGAAGCGAAGTCGACAACAACCTGTCCTCTTCAGCTGTTCGTCAACCACCGGCATGCACGGAGAGCACGGAGAGTACAGATGCCGGGGATCTGGCAGTGAGCAGTTCGGACCACTGCCAAGCCAGAGCAGCCACTCGGGAAGGTATGGGCAGCCATGCATCGAAGGGCTTCATGCTGGCCGATTCCTCTTTGCCGAGCTCCCCGAAGGAGACAAGACACTTACAGCAAGGGCGGTCGATGGCAGAAGACTCAGCAACTCGCACTTAAATACAATCAGGCAGCCATGGCAGCCATCACTAAAGAAGTTCTTGTACTTGTGCTCGTCGTCATTTTTACCGGTATTTACTCCAGGCTCACTGACAGCCACCAGCGGATGAACCGCGAGAGAAAGCACTGCGGCCCTCGTTTGCTGTATTTTGGAGATCATCGAGATGTTGTTGTCCGAGCTGCTCAAAAGAAGCAGGACTGACTCAGAGAGGCTTCCTTTACAGCACGGCCGCTCATCACGGTCAAATGCCACCCCTTTTCCAGGCACAAAGTGCTGGCGTCTGTGTTCAAGGTCAGCACGAGTTCGGTGGCTGCCGACCCCAGCCGTCCAGCCGTCAATCGCGCCTGTTCAGCCTCAAGAGGCTGCCGAAAGGAAAGCTCATACACGTAAGCGAAGTTGGCTCACAACTGGAATGGAGATCGTCTACGAAACTGAGAAGCTGGGATCAACAGGGTCACTACAATGCAGCTACACTTCACTCACACTGCATCTAACACATGGGCTGGCCTGTTAGCCAGCATGATCTTCACCATCGCCCACTGGAGGCTGTCCCCCATAGCACACGGACACATTGCGGCACAAAGCTACCAAGATATGGTCCAAACTTACCTCGCAAGCCCTTGAACATAGGCTCAAAAGCAAGGCGACAACACTGCCATTTAAGTTATATCCTGACCGACATCTATGTGGGCATGGACGAATTGAAACCCCCTTTGCAGATTCGTAACCTCAGCTCTTGGAATCCAACCCCTACGAAGCCATCACCTTGATCTAGCTCGACCCTTATAGAGGGCTGCGGCGAGACCAGCCCGATGTTTCCCTCACATGGCTGTTGCCGCTGGTAAAGCATCGGTGTGGTGGTCGTCGCATTAGTTTCAAGACGAAGAGAAGGCTGACAGTGGACACATTGACACTTGAAGCAGCGACAGTCGCAGCGGGGCAGTGGTAGTGGCAGTGAGTGGTCGTCGTCGTCGTAGTAGTAGCAGCAGCAGCATCAGTAGCAGTGGCAGCAGAGAGGTCGGGAGACGACGCGGTAGCAGAAGATTTTGCACTAGTAGGAGGTAGTACGCAGTGCGAAGCACTAGGCCAAGGATGACAATGCGGATCAAGACGAGGGTGCGACGATCACAACTTGGTGATGATTCGTTGATGGAAATTGTGACTATGATGTTGACGATGATGACGTAGTCGGTCCAGCATGATGACATAGTGCACAGACAAAACCCTACTCCAAAAACCCACACTAAGCCCTCAACCCTATAACCAACCCTGAACCCTCAACGCCCTAAATCCTAGGTTGTTCAGACATCCCCCGGAATCCAGAGGAATGGACGCCCTTACGTATCATGCCTGCCTGATTCGGTCATTGTACATGTTTTCCTGGCACACTCCGTAGAGAATCGCTAACTTATGATACGAAGAATTCCGAGGATTACATATTCCTTATGACTTGTTTGTTGAGGCATCAAATCTGGAATTTCCTTTCGAACAAATAACTCTGCTTTGCTCACATTCATGAAACGGGTCACCCTTTCCCATGCTTGACGAGAAGGGCTGGAAGAAGACCTCGATCTAGGGCGAATGCCACAATTCAAGAGAGCGGCGGGTGCAACCAGTAAGAACCTCTGGCTGGCAGCAACCGCTTAGGCGAACAATGGTTCAAACATATTCAAGCGTCACATCCCTTGACAGGATTAATGGCTACCCGAAGCCCCAAAACCTGCTCTTTCAATCTCGGCCTCTACATCGATAGAGTCGCCAAGGTCCGGATGACGACCTGTCATGGTCAAAGGAGCCCAGAGCGTTTCCGAGTCTCCTACCCACCTGCTTGTAAAGTAACTTCAACTACGTTCCTTCACAAGAAGCCGGATAGTAAAACCCTTACTCTGAAGCCATAAAGCTCCCAGAGAAATACAAAAAGAACCTACGCTCGAACTTAGGGAGCCTCAACAAGAACAACGGCCACGGCCGAGAGGGCCTCCTTAAATGACCTCGCACTCTCGGCGTACTCGCCGGACGCGCGGGATCGCACGTCTTGCCGAATTCCTGTATGGCTTTGGGGATTGTCGTTCTTGATATGACCCCCGATACCGCTTCCTATAAGGGTTCCTTGGGGCCCTTGTAACTGTAAGACTCCAGTAACTCTCTACTGTAGTAACTGTTGTAATTCTATAAAAGGCTCCTACCAGGTGCATGAGGTCTCAGATAAGGGTTCCTGGTCTGAAACGCCAAGCTGCGGTCAAAACGAGTTCGCACATCCAGAAGCGAAGCAGTCCGTTGAAGCCTTAGCGAAGTCGGCAGAGAGAAGCAGGTCGGGGCTTGAAAGCCCCACATCGTCCCTGCAAGAGCCGAGGCACAAATACTGAGACAGTCGCCCCATCTGCTCCAACCAGTCGAAGCCTGTCGCTATCCCGGGCCAAGGGAACCTGGCGTTCCTCTTTGCCAAGGAAATACTTCACACTCAAGCGAGTGGTAGAGGCACAGCAGATGATGCCCTTCACCCATCTTCTGACAGGCTTTGTGACGAAGATCTCCACCTTCCAAGGTCGGCAACGATATGAAGGTCGGCAACGACATGTAAAGTAAAGGATGGGCATGCGGCATTACGTAGGATAATTTAGTCGAAGGTGCAGCAATGCAGATTCCCAAAATAAACACATCCCGCCTCTGACGACTCCTTCAGAGCGGTCTGCCATGATTGGACGGCACAACCTTCTTGAATTAGATGCTGAGCTTGTCGCCAACCGGTCAGTACCACTAGACCAGCTGCAACGCCGCTCAAAGATGCAATGCCAAGCACAGCTCCCACTGGCGCAACTGGGGAAGCAATGAGCCCAAGACCCACCGCCACCGATCCCAAGGTTTGTGAGCCTGCAATACTAGCTGCTGGTGCCATGGCTGTGGAAGCTGCTGCAGCAGCAGCCATGCCTGCACTCGTTCCAGCAACAACAGCTGAGACAGTGCCTGCAACTCCGATGTCGGAGAAGAATTTCCGAAGCATGGCCATGGCTTGAAGAACCCATTCCTTGAGAGCAGCAGCACATCCAAGGACTGATGCGGAGATATTGCCCAAGACACATTGTATGGATTGACACTTGATGAGCTCGAGCAGCAAGGGAACCACAACATATGCCATGATCCATCCATATGGAGTTCCGGAGACTGCGGCCTTCAGGAAGACCTCGAGAACTATGGGAACCAGATCCACCAGTAACTCCAGCAGGTTCGGGTTTTTGACTGCCAGGTTGTCAAAGATTCTGGAATAGCTAGCAGAAAGCAGCTGTAGTGCAGTGCTCGAAACACCTGCATGCCGAAGAAGTCGGAGCAATTGGAGCAGAACAAACTGTTTCAACCAGTCTCGGCCGAAGTCATCAAGCTGGCATCCCCGATTTAAGCAAGCTCGAACAACCGGACGCACCAAAGCAGCCAAACCGTCCTCCAGGTACGGACTCAGCGCTGCCCAGGCGGGCAAACTGAAGACAGAGTTCGAGAGATTGTTGGAGAGATTGGCGGCCATGTAAGACAACTGAACGTTGAGGGCTCCGTCCAGCGCGGCTGCACAGAAGGCCTGACAACTACAGGAGATGGCCTCTCCGACGCTCTTTCCTTCCCGCCGGCCCCTGAAAAAGGATGCAATGGCACATGCAGTGCCTTGCCCCACAATTCCCTTCAGCTCGGCCGTTGCTGCGATGTGCACATTCCTGCGGCTGGCGCCGAACCAGGTCTCAACGTAGCTCTCTTTCACCTCCACCAACAGCAAAAAGGCTTGAACCTTCTCACCAGACTGACCGCCGATATGTACTTCATGCATGTCTGCTATGCGGCACCATTGCAGTCCACAAGTGCTAAAGGTTTGCTCCGAAGAGTTGGCGACCGCATAAGGCACCTCCAGCCGCAGGCCCATGAGGCAAACTCCAGCTGCATGGGCGGTTTGCTTCCAATGAGATTCCGCTGAAGCCACAAAGTTGCCCTTGCTAGACGTTCCTCCATGCACGCTGACTCCCCTGAAAACTCCGGTGTCCAGAGCACCAAAACCATGAATGCAACCCAGATTCACACCTGTGACATCGACACTGCCAGCAAAACCCCACACAGAAGCCATGTGGACTGAATAGCTGCCATCTTGATTCTGCGTGCGGCGCATGCTCTCCGTCACCCCGAGGTTACCGGAGACACCCACGGCACTGCCAATGCCACTGGCCAATGACCCAACACCGGTGGCAGACAGGACTGTCCCCAAGCCTCAGGTGCGTTACCAAGCAAGCGGCATCAAGCGGCAAAATGGCGAGATTCGAGATGGTAAAAGAATGTAAAGGGCAAAAATCGGGAAGACAGAACCAAAGGAAAAGAGCACTCTGCGAGAAAGATCAAGATGAACATCAGGTCGGCTTGAAGGCCCCGGGAACCAGACGCATCCCAAGATGGTCTTAACCTGCTATGCAGTTGAACTCGCTTTGCTTGTAGTGTTTCGGCAGGGTTTTCAACTCAGGCGATGACCCACGCGAAGTTGCACACCTTCTTCATGCTGACTCTGGCTGATCTGGGTGCCGTTCTCCTTCACGTCTGCTCCGAAACTGTCTCGGTGACCAACAGACAAAGAGCTGCCGCCAGCAAAGTCCACTCCTTTTCGGCCATCCTCATTGATGAGGCCCATGGGACATAGGGGCACGCCCGACTTTGCCATTGCAATGCCTGCGGCTTGAACGAGTGCCCCCTCTCCGGCAGCACCGGCTGCGTTGGCAAGTCGATCGGCGCAAGACCCTTCGGAAGTCAGAAAGGCTCCAGCAGCACGACCAGCAATGTTCCCAGTAAATCCTGGGCCAACCACCCCAGAAGCAGCTTCATGAGCGGCAGACAATGCCAAAGATGTACCGGCGGCGGCTATTCCATGCTCAACCTTCTCAGCGGCTGTACCTCCTTGAAGGAATGCAGCACCGCCGGCGGCAAGGGCTTCTCCAAGCGAGGCTCCTGCAGATGCGCTACCTGCAAGCTTGCCCGCCACTTCCCCAGCAACCAACCCAGCGACACCTGCAGCACCTTGCGCGGCAATCTGGGCACCTGACTGCTGCAAGGCCTGCTTCTCTTGCTCTGCAGAGCAAAACAGTCGGCCTTCGTTGCTCTTGCACGCTTCTCGGGTTCCCACCTCTAGACCTCTGCCAGCAGCCTCTTTGACTTCCTCCCGAACTGCACAGCTGTGAGAAACTTCCCCATCAAATTGGACCTCCCCAGACATCTTGTCGACTGATCCTGAACCCGCACGCGATGTGGTGAGGAACAAACCTTCCGATTCCTCCACGACGTGATGCGTCTTGCAATCTACCTCAACTTTCTTACTGCTGAGCAAGCCCTCACGGGTCTGTTTGAAGGCCACTTCCTTCGACGCCAAGGTCTGGCCAAGTATGCGGATATCCTCCTTATTCGTTTCAGTCGTACAGCTGCTGATTCTGCTGGTCTTCTCATGCTCCACGTCCTGGACATTCGCTTTCCCGGTGTCGAAGTTCAGCTGCTCCATGCCTCATGCGGGGCAGCAAACTACTCTGCCACGCAACCGACTGCTCAAGAGCAAGCCCAAAAATTAAGAACAATGTGAGATGCCATGCACAAGACGCAGAACATATCATTAACATTAAGCAACGAAGCTCGCGCCTGCTACGTCCACGCCACCAGCAAATCCATGCACCGTCTCTGAATGTAACTTGTAACTGCCGTCCGGCTTCTGCTCGTGTCGCACGCGCTCTGTCCTGCCGAGGTTGCCGGAGACACCCACGGCGCTGCCATTGCCACTGGCCAATGACCCAGCACCGGTGGCAGACAGGACTGTCCCCAAGCATCAGGTGCGTTACCAAGCAAGATTCGAGATGGTAAAAGAATGTAAAGGGCAAAAATCGGGAAGACAGAACCAAAGGAAAAGAGCACTCTGCGAGAAAGATCAAGATGAACATCAGGTCGGCTTGAAGGCCCCGGGAACCAGACGCATCCCAAGATGGTCTTAACCTGCTATGCAGTTGAACTCGCTTTGCTTGTAGTGTTTCGGCAGGGTTTTCAACTCAGGCGATGACCCACGCGAAGTTGCACACCTTCTTCATGCTGACTCTGGCTGATCTGGGTGCCGTTCTCCTTCACGTCTGCTCCGAAACGGTCTCGGTGACCAACAGACAAAGAGCTGCCGCCAGCAAAGTCCACTCCTTTTCGGCCCTCCTCATTGATGAGGCCCATGGGGCACGCCCGACTTTACCATTGCAATGCCTGCGGCTTGAACGAGTGCCCCCTCTCCGGCAGCACCGGCTGCGTTGGCAAGTCGATCGGCGCAAGACCCTTCGGAAGTCAGAAAGGCTCCAGCGGCACGACCAGCAATGTTCCCAGTAAATCCTGGGCCAACCACCCCAGAAGCAGCTTCATGAGCGGCAGACAATGCCAAAGATGTACCGGCGGCGGCTATTCCATGCTCAACCTTCTCAGCGGCTGTACCTCCTTGAAGGAATGCAGCACCGCCGGCGGCAAGGGCTTCTCCAAGCGACGCTCCTGCAGATGCGCTACCTGCAAGCTTGCCCGCCACTTCCCCAGCAACCAACCCAGCGACACCTGCAGCACCTTGCGCGGCAATCTGGGCACCTGACTGCTGCAAGGCCTGCTTCTCTTGCTCTGCAGAGCAAAACAGTCGGCCTTCGTTGCTCTTACGCGCTTCTCGAGTTCCCACCTCTAGACCTCTGCCAGCAGCCTCTTTGACTTCCTCCCGAACTGCACAGCTGTGAGAAACTTCCCCATCAAATTGGACCTCCCCAGACATCTTGTCGACTGATCCTGAACCCGCACGCGATGTGGTGAGGAACAAACCTTCCGATTCCTCCACGACGTGATGAGTCTTGCAATCTACCTCAACTTTCTTACTGCTGAGCAAGCCCTCACGGGTCTGTTTGAAGGCCACTTCCTTCGACGCCAAGGTCTGGCCAAGTATGCGGATATCCTCCTTATTCGTTTCAGTCGTACAGCTGCTGAATCTGCTGGTCTTCTCATGCTCCACGTCCTGGACATTCGCTTTCCCGGTGTCGAGGTTCAGCTGCTCCACGCCTCATGCGGGGCAGCAAACTACTCTGCCACGCAACCGACTGCTCAAGAGCAAGCCCAAAAATTAAGAACAATGTGAGATGCCATGCACAAGACGCAGAACATATCATTACATTAACATCAAGCAACGAAGCTCGCGCCTGCTACGTCCACGCCACCAGCAAATCCATGCACCGTCTCTGAATGTAACTTGTAACTGCCGTCCGGCTTCTGCTCGTGGCGCACGCGCTCTGTCCTGCCGAGGTTGCCGGAGACACCCACGGCACTGCCAATGCCACTGGCCAATGACCCAGCACCGGTGGCAGACAGGACTGTCCCCAAGCCTCAGGTGCGTTACCAAGCAAGCGGCATCAAGCGGCAAAATGGCGAGATTCGAGATGGTAAAAGAATGTAAAGGGCAATAATCGGGAAGACAGAACCAAAGGAAAAGAGCACTCTGCGAGAAAGATCAAGATGAACATCAGGTCGGCTGGAAGGCCCCGGGAACCAGACGCATCCCAAGATGGTCTTAACCTGCTATGCAGTTGAACTCGCTTTGCTTGTAGTGTTTCGGCAGGGTTTTCAACTCAGGCGATGACCCACGCGAAGTTGCACACCTTCTTCATGCTGACTCTGGCTGATCTGGGTGCCGTTCTCCTTCACGTCTGCTCCGAAACGGTCTCGGTGACCAACAGACAAAGAGCTGCCGCCAGCAAAGTCCACTCCTTTTCGGCCATCCTCATTGATGAGGCCCATGGGGCATAGGGGCACGCCCGACTTTACCATTGCAATGCCTGCGGCTTGAACGAGTGCCCCCTCTCCGGCAGCACCGGCTGCGTTGGCAAGTCGATCGGCGCAAGACCCTTCGGAAGTCAGAAAGGCTCCAGCGGCACGACCAGCAATGTTCCCAGTAAATCCTGGGCCAACCACCCCAGAAGCAGCTTCATGAGCGGCAGACAATGCCAAAGATGTACCGGCGGCGGCTATTCCATGCTCAACCTTCTCAGCGGCTGTACCTCCTTGAAGGAATGCAGCACCGCCGGCAGCAAGGGCTTCTCCAAGCGAGGCTCCTGCAGATGCGCTACCTGCAAGCTTGCCCGCCACTTCCCCAGCAACCAACCCAGCGACACCTGCGGCACCTTGAGCGGCAATCTGGGCACCTGACTGCTGCAACGCCTGCTTCTCTTGCTCTGCAGAGCAAAACAGTCGGCCTTCGTTGCTCTTACGCGCTTCTCGGGTTCACACCTCTAGACCTCTGCCAGCAGCCTCTTTGACTTCCTCCCGAACTGCGCAGCTGTGAGAAACTTCCCCATCAAATTGGACCTCCCCAGACATCTTGTCGACTGATCCTGAACCCGCACGCGATGTGGTGAGGAACAAACCTTCGGATTCCTCCACAACGTGATGCGTCTTGCAATCTGCCTCAACTGTCTTACTGCCGAGCAAGCCCTCACGGGTCTGTTTGAAGGCCACTTCCTTCGACGCCAAGGTCTGGCCAAGTATGCGGATATCCTCCTTATTCGTTTCAGTCGTACAGCTGCTGAATCTGCTGGTCTTCTCATGCTCCACGTCCTGGACATTCGCTTTCCCGGTGTCGAGGTTCAGCTGCTCCACGCCTCATGCGGGGCAGCAAACTACTTTGCCACGCAACCGACTGCTCAAGAGCAAGCCCAAAAATTAAGAACAATGTGAGATGCCATGCACAAGACGCAGAACATATCATTACATTAACATTAAGCAACGAAGCTCGCGCCTGCTACGTCCACGCCGCCAGCAAATCCATGCACCGTCTCTGAATGTAACTTGTAACCGCCGTCCGGCTTCTGCTCGTGGCGCACGCGCTCTGTCATGCCGAGGTTGCCGGAGACACCCGCGGCACTGCCAATGCCACTGGCCAATGACCCAGCACCGGTGGCAGACAGGACTGTCCCCAAGCCTCAGGTGCGTTACCAAGCTATCGACAAAACAGGGAGATTCGAGATGGTAAAGGAATGTGAAAGGGAGCAATATATAAAAGGGACGATGCGAACGAGAAGAATCGGAGAAACAGAACAAAAAGCTCAGGTGAAAGGAACAAGAGAAGAGCACTCTGCGACAACGATCAAGATGAACATCAGGTCGGCTTGAAGGCCCAGAGCCCAGTGTACTGGATTGCGGAAATGGTTTCCGAGTCCAGAAAGATCAAGGGTCCCGGGAACCAGACGCATCCCAAGATAGTCTTAACCTGCTATGCAGTTGAACTCGCTTTGCTTGTAGTGTTTCGGCAGGGTTTTCAACTCAGGCGATGACCCACGCGAAGTTGCACACCTTCTTCATGCTGACTCTGGCTGATCTGGGTGCCGTTCTCCTTCACGTCTGCTCCGAAACGGTCTCGGTGACCAAAAGACAAAGAGCTGCCGCCAGCAAAGTCCACTCCTTTTCGGCCCTCCTCATTGATGAGGCCATGGGGCATAGGGGCACGCCCGACTTTGCCATTGCAATGCCTGCGGCTTGAACGAGTGCCCCCTCTCCGGCAGCACCGGCTGCGTTGGCAAGTCGATCGGCGCAAGACCCTTCGGAAGTCAGAAAGGCTCCAGCGGCACGACCAGCAATGTTCCCAGTAAATCCTGGGCCAACTACCCCAGAAGCAGCTTCATGAGCAGCAGACAATGCCAAAGATGTACCGGCGGCGGCTATTCCATGCTCAACCTTCTCAGCGGCTGTACCTCCTTGAAGGAATGCAGCACCGCCGGCAGCAACGGCTGCTGCGGCTGATCCCGGTATCCCCCTTTCACTAGCAAGCAAACTGATGACCCCTGCAGCACCCTGTGACGTCATGGCGGCGGCCAACTTCAAGGTGGCCTCCTGCTTCTGCTGTGGCGTAACAAAGAGCTTTTGCTCATTGGCTTTTCTGATCTCAAAGGCACCAACCTGCGCACGTTTGCTTGGAATGCGCTTAGGCACTTACCTCAACCGACTTGATTGGAGCTAAAGCCACCCACCACCGACAACCAATGGCAGGCTCATGCGTGAAACAACTGACTTGGTTGCAACCTGTCTTTCTGCAGGCTACAGTACAGCGCAGCGAGATTTAAAGCATGCAGCAGAAGATAGAAAGAGAAAGCTATAATATGAGGTATCTGGTAAGCTTCATTGGCTGCCCAAAGCTTTGCCTCCATGCCCTGGCCAAAGGCACCCTTCACTTCATCGCGAACTTCGAGAACTTCTTTCTCACAATGAACCATTTCCGTCGTCAGGTTTCGTTTGTCCAGAGTCCCCTTGCCAATGCGCCTTGTTTTGAAGACCTCACCTTTCAACGACTCTTCCTGAGCGCAGCGCAGCACGTCAAACAGCACGATCGAAACGCACAACAATAAATCATCTATGCATATTCAAGACAAGGATCAACTTCAAAGTATGTGGAGTGACCGATTTGGCAGTCCACCCGGCTTCTATTCTTATACTTCGTAGTAGTTGTGCCGTCCTTCGTCTCTTTCGTGGATGTGAAGTGGATCTTCTCCGTCGTGCCATCATGTCTTTCGCGGGTCATCTGCACATCCTCACCTCTATGATTTGTCCCGGATAGCCCTGATAGTTTCTTACCAGACTTTCCGTCTCCACCTTGCATGCCGCCACCTCCCTTGCTACCGCCGCCTCCGCCACCCCCACCGCCACCACCACTATCATCATCGCTATGATGCCCAAATCGATCTGTGCGGGGAGAGCCTGTAAACGGATCTGAATGGGGAGATTGTGTATCATTGTCTTTCCAATGCCGCTTGTTGACACTGTCCGTAACAAGACCCAGTGGCTCTCTGATTTTGCCTTTGGCAAACCGCCCTCGTTCGTCGTGGTAGCGCCCAGACTTTTCGTTCTTGACAGCATACTGCTCGCCTTCAACGTAAGTGTTGGGCTTCCCTCTCTTGGTAGGATCGTAAGCATTTTGAATGTGTTGAGTGTGCCTGCAGACTTCTACATTGCGCCGCTTGCCGTCCGGAAGCAGCACTGGAAGTGTTATCACAGAAGCCTCGCCCTTGTTGGGCTTCTCCCGCCACCCGGGATCGTTTGCAATCAGCTCGTCCAACTTGATCTTCGCTAGCCTGCAAGGGCATGTGCGCATGGAACTGAATCGACTCCCGGACAGGTGCTTGTTTCCCAATACCAACCTACCACCCTCCATCCGGCCTCTGCAGTGGAGACAAGTCTTTGTGGCCAATACCGTGATGCTCTGAGCAAATATGCTCTGCCGTGCTGTGGTCCTGCCCGGGAAACGCTTTCAGAGGAAGTTTTGCTCGGCTGTCTGTGCTGTCGTCTCCATTGCCCATCGCGTGAGGCTCGCCAAGAACAGTGGACAACAGCGAAAACAGGACATGAGTCCCTTGAGTTCCGATTCCGTCACATGAATTCAGCAGATCGCTCTTCGGTGATAATACTCTCTTCAGCACGTGGACGCTCCTAGTCTTCCTCCCAGCCTCAAGCCATAAAACTCTGGTCGAATGACGTTTTCATAGCCGAGAACGTTAAGCCCCTACTTTCAGAGTGACGCAGGCTTCTGCTTTGCCGCCCAGAGCTGTCAGTCTGCAGTGCAACCCTCTTGCGCAAGAAAGGTGGTCTCATAACAGGTTTCACAATTCTGTTTCAGTCGTGACACAATGCCTGAAGTGAAGAAGCAAGCGGAATTACTCAAAACTAAGCGCACATCTCTCGCTTCTGAGGCTAACTACTGTCTTTCACGCATCCAAGGAAGCGCTGCTGCAACATGACGGCAAGGTGAGAAGAGACTCTGGAAAAGGTGGCATCTTGGACCACAGTGAGAAATCGCTGTCTGGGCTCCATACTGCATAGCGGGACTATGCGGGACTATCATTTACAGTATCCTTCTATGTTATGGGACCTAACTTCCATCCATCGCGCTAGATTGCAATGCTTGGGTCAAGATGACAAACTGTTGGCCCATCGTGCTCACCACCCAGAGAGTGCATGCCTTCGGCTGTGCCCTCAGCTTTGACCCCTCTGCAAACACTGCCAACACCCTCGCAGTGCACAGCCTACTTAGCACTGCAAGAGGGGATCCTTCACCTTGAGTGATATCCTTGCGTTAACAACGTCTCCGCGTGGATTTCGGCCCAGAGCAATCTCCAACGACTGGTACTCTGAGGTCTCTTCACGGAACGCCCAAAACAATCTATCTATCGCACGAGACCCGCGCGTGACGATACATGTATGTACAGAATCTACAGATAAGCAAATGGCGCCTCACAGCCCTTTTCGACGTGATGGCACCTGTCTAAGATTTTTCCACACAAGGCGATGCCCCAAATCATAACAATGATAGCAAGGCAAACTACCGTGTTTGGTTTTGCTCGGCAGTCACAGCGGTCAGAAAGATATCGATAAAGACAAACACACGCACGAGGACAGCAAATTGTGCACGGTTCTTTCGAGGCATATGACTAGCAAATACCACATAACACATACCAGACCAATCTGCAGAACGACTTGTTCTTAGGTGCGGAGTTCATAAGCCCAAAAATGTTTAAACTTTCAGTTTTAAGAGGGGTTCATTATCCCAAAAAGTTCAAAGTCTATAAACTCCGCTACTAAGTGTTTACATGGCAGACACAGCAAAGCGATTCCAGTCATCCTAGTATGCCCCAGCCCTGTAAAAAGCGTCCCGAAGCACCACGAAACATAACAAGAGTGTGGTAGCTACTCCACACTTGCTGCAAAATCCAGAGAGGTTTTGTTTTGGGGGTTTGTGTCTCGCGACTGCAAATTGCGGACCGTCCTTTTCACAGCTCCAGTAGGGGCCACTCCCGCACATGCAATGCTACTTATGTAATGATACTTAGAGTGGTCGGCTTGTCGTGCGGGCGGCTTTACTATTTACAGAGACATGCAGCGGTGGAGTTCGGGGTTTGAGGCCTCAATGTCTAGAACTTAGCAGAAAGTTCAGAGGTTTGGAATACACACTCTAATGCCGAGAGCATCGGGGAGATACTACCAAGTCATTCATGGATGCACCTGCGTTAGTCTCGCGAACTTGCGCTGCAGCGCTTGCCTGGTGTACCAGAACATAAGAGCACGTCTTGATGCACATGCTCGTCAAGCTTATAGGACTGTGGGGCTTCAGGGAGTCAGCTGTTCGGGGCTTAGGATCCAAACCTTCGGAGCATCCGAGGCAAAAAGCTTCCAGACTGGACATGTCTCAGCTGTGCGCACATGACGAAGCTAGATACTTGCAGCTTTTCTGGTTCCAAGGTCACCACCCCAGGCCCCGCGGCGATTCTGGCATCAAGACCTGCATCTGTCATGAATCCGTAAGTGTCAAGAGGCAGTTGGCAGTTGATGCTACAAGTCCGAACCCCCTGCCTTCTGATCGCTCGTCGGCAAAGACGGACTGACAAGAGGGACAACAGTGGGGCACCGTGCAACTCACGTTCTATCAGTCGGCCGGCTGGGATCTGGTGCTGTAGGGGACTAAATAGTTACCAATACTATTTTGGGGGTTCCTTATATTATCATCATAGTATCATTATGGGCCCCCTTATTGTAATTATTAAGGCCCGTATATTGATGTTCTTGTAGGCGGGTGGATTGTGACTCAACGCCCAACGGCTGCAACGGAAACAGCTGTGTTCCTGAAGTACACCTTTATAGAATCGAGGTATTGCGCGCGTAGCGATACTGGTCTAATTGGAGTTCAGCTGAGCAGCAGTAGCTGATCCAGCCGCTGCAGCTCTTCCTTGCTGAGCCTTGCAGCATACGATGCAGGCAGCAAGAGAAGTAAAAACTCTGAGCACAATGAAGTGGGAGCTATCATGTTCACATTTTTTTGCAAATCACTCGTCGCAGCTACATGGCCTACACCACACAACTGCAGTCATCACGCAAACGTGCACTCGCAATGCGCCAACCAATAGCATACTTGCGCTGTCGGCAGGTTCCGAGATTACGCCAATGCTTGAAGCGGCACTTCCCACGATTGTGCTTGGAGGGAAGGTGATGTCAGTTGTCAGTCCGTTGCGGCTCTGGCCCCTGTTTTGGGATGTTCGACTGCCACGAGGCAGGTAGGGATTGGGGTTGCGTGCTCTATTATCCTCATCTCTACTTGGACTGCTGAAGGGTTGCTGTCGACCAGGGCCCAAGCTGCTTGGGCAAATTGCGCACCCGGGCCACGACCCGCGCCTGACATGCGCGGTGATTTGGCACATTTCATTGACGGAGCTCGGTGTAAAGTACAGTATGCACATTCACAGGTTTGGTTGCTTACAGCGATGCCGGCCAATCACCACTAGAAACTGTACCAGCCACGCCAAAGCGAGACAAAGAAATACCATGAATGGAGACCCTGTCGCGATCCCAACTCATTTGTGCCTCCGACGGTGGCAACTCGAACTCTTCGGACTCCTCACTGTCCTCGTCATCGTCCAGTGTGGCCTCGCCTCATGGATGCTCAGGGTTTAGGAGTTGCGGTCCTTCAGGGTTTAGGGTTTAGGGCCTAGGATACTGCGGTAAGACTTCTGGCGTTTATGGATGGGTTTACAGCACGGGACTTTTTCTGAAATCACTGCCATGCCTGGCACAAACACAGCCGCACCCTAAACCCCAAAACTGCAAAACTTCCTCCCTGATCCTAAATGACTGACTTGCAAATGCAAGGACCCGAAACTCCAATGTCCTAATCCCAAATCCTGAACTCTGACTTCAAACAGCTAGCTGAGGCAGCGACCAGTCGTGTAGTCGTTCCGCATGATGCGCAGCAACCTTCCTTTCAAGCGGTCCTGGGTGAGTTCTTATGCACCCGTTCAAGTGCTCTACATGGGATCAGAATGTAAAGTCGAAGTTAGTCTAGAGCCAACGCTCAACGGGCCCGAACGGCTTGGACGACGATTCATGGATGGGCTAGTGAAAGAGCGGCAATAACGGCTTCTGTTGTGGCGAAGGGCGAATTTTACTGAGATTTTCCAGACGGCGACAAGGCAAAACCGGCATCAGGTCTCCTTCTCCTTCTCTCGGCAAAATTCGTGGATTGCCGCCTGGGAAGTTGATGGGTTTAGCGTGCACTTTTCAGGAGCATCTGCCAGAATCAGTCTGCGTCTGCAGACTGCTTGGGTTTATAGGGTTGAACCAGGAGTAAACGCACAACGTCCATGCGCAAGACTCTTGCTCCCTCTGCCCCTGCCATCCCACGAACTCAAAAAAGCTTACGACGGCTCGACGTCAGCATCCCTGGGACCCGCAAAGCCCTGAACCCCAAACGAGCAAGTTCTGATCTGTCATTGCCTTGATGCCAGTGTTGCCCTTCGAGAACTTCCAGCTTCCTGGCATCGTCGTGATGATATGCTGTGACACCATACCATGGAAGTAATGTAACGTCATGTGGTTTGTACTACGAGCCCAAGAGTCCACTACAAGATACGATCATGTACCCGCATGTCACAGGCTCTACCAACATGCACTCCGACATAACCCTAGACCGCATATTTAAAGAGTAAGTTTGTCATCCACGAAAGGCAGCGCAGCGGCCTTTTCCAGGTAATCGCCTTCGAAATGGCATGTTGAGGTCGGAGAAAGATAAACATTCAAAGCAGCCTCGACGCTGAGATGCCGGCTTCTGCAGTATGCGAATCGAGCCGTGCTTTCCCAAGCCTGACCGTCGTAATGTGACATAAGCGACCAATCTAAACCCTAAGCGGAACCATGTGCCTGGCTTCCCTGGCTTCGGAAGCGCGGTGTGGTAGCTCCTGCACAGTCGAGCCCCGGATTGCACGAACCCCAAGCAGCTAGGGTCGAATCAGAGACGAGGCAGTCAAATCGGGGCGAATCAGATGACCAGATTCAGAGACCAGCCCATCGGAATCAGATACCAGCAGCCTCGAGATTCAGAGTCCAGCGTAGTCGAATCAGGCACCTCACCTTTCCCCGGCCGACCCGACCCAACCCGACTCAAGCCAACCCATTCGACCCGCCAAGCCCACCATGCCCTGCCGACGAGCCCGGCAGGACCCCGCCAGACCTGGCCGACCCGACCAATCCAACCTCATCCACGGACCCAACCAACCAACCCGACCAACCCAACCAAACCTTATTGCTCCACCCACCCTACCCACCCGACGTTGCCATCCTAACAGATCCGGCCGCCCCACAAGACTCCACCCGACCTGACCCCACCAACCCGACTCCGACCCGAGCAACGGCCCCACCCGACGACCTGACCAACACACGGACCCAACCAACCCGACCAAAACTCTAATCTGGGTCGCCCGGCCCCGACAGCCTCGAAGTTCACGAAAGAAGGTCGAAAGAAGGTCCGGCCGAGCTATCAAGCAGTAGCGACCACGCCCCCACGAACCCGCCCTGCACCAGCCATCACTTGTTCAGTGCCAATTAACCTGCCCCCACTGAAACCCTCCCTCCACCAGCAAACTAACTCGCCCTCCACCAGCCAGCGCTTGTTCAGTGTCGGCTCACCCGCCCCCCCTACAAACCCGCCCTCCACCAGCAAACAAACCCACCCTCCACCAGGCAGCACTTGTTATTCAATGTCGGCTCACCCACCCCCCACCACAAACCCGCCCTTGCAAAAAGCTGGTTTTCCATTTCACAGTAACCTTGTCTATTCCTACACAGCCGTCCTCCACAAGGTCCGTGCGTCAGCTTCCTGTTAAGCACACTGCATTTTGGCTCAGTGTCTCTTGTGCTGGCATAGTCACCACAGGGACCTCGGCCTCATCGTCGGATCCGGAGAACCCGGACCTGGGCTCTCGTTGCGTGTGCCCGAGCCCCCTACTTGGAGGTTCATGGGTAGTTAATAGGTATAACCCCTATCAGGGGACTTATAACCCCACTGAAAACAACCCATGAACCTCCAAGTAGCCTTACCTTCAGCATGACCGAGGGCAGCACAAGGCGCTGGCGAGGTCGAACTGTCAGCTTCCGGTGATCAACAGTCAAGGCAAGCCACCCACTTCAGCACAGTCACACGGGCACAGACAAGAGAACATTCAGCTGTCCTGCACAAGCACGCTTATCAGAGAAAACAATATAGCTTCTGAACGCCGACCCAGGTATCTCTCAGGAAAACCTGTGTGCTCAGAGGAGTCGCGCCGGGCGAAGGGCGGCTGGGCTCGTTGTGCACATCGACAAGCTGATGGGTGTTTAGCTCTCCGAGGAATGGAAAACATTTACTAGCAAGGGCCTTTTGAATTGGGCTTGGGGGTACATCGTTATACTATGCAGGTATCATCAGCGACCTGAAGGCCTGAAGGAATGATTTTGTTTAGGCCTCTATATCGGGTGTCTACTAGTACGTTGCAGTTTCTACAGGGGTGTCATGTGCAGTGGAGGATCTGTTCTGTCATCTGGCCTCGACGTCCTCGGGCTCGCTTGGAATTTGCAGGCTGAGGGAACCTGCACCCACTTCAACTGCGGAAGCGCAATAGCTAAAACCTCTAAACCCTAGAACGCCAAACCTAAACCACCAGACCCCAAAAGCCCAAACACTGAAGCCCCGAACGCAAACACCAGCAAACTCAACGTTCTTAATGCAAGTTTGGGTTCGGGTCTCAAAGAATGCGGAACCCTAACAAAGAACCCTGAAGAGTAGGATCCTTGACACAAGGACCCCGCAAACAATGTACCAGTATACACCTGGACCCAGACCCTAGATCCTACTATAGGGCCTTACTGGTAATAATGATAGGTAATGTCTACTGGATCTATAATCAAGAACCACCAATATAGTACTGGTAACTATTAAGGCCCCTATATTAAACTCTGCTTTTGTTAATTACCATAAGGCCCCTATAGTGAACTCTGCTTATGTTAATTGTTATAAGGCCCCTATACTGAACTCTGTTTTTGTTAAGTATTATAAGGCGCCTTCATTGAACACTGCTTTTGTTAATTATTATAAGGCCCCTATATTTAACTCTGTTTTGCTAATTCTTATAAGGCCCCTATATTGGACTCTGTTTTTGTTGATTATTACAAGGCCCCTATATTAAACTCTTTCTCAAACTCCCAACCATGACCAGCCTGCAGTTGGCATCGGCCTGTGGCACGCGCACTCTCTTCAGATTCTTCTCCCTGGTGCTTACTTCGAGGTTCATGGGTAGTTATAAGTGGAGTTATGGGGTTTAGGGTTCCCTTCAAGGGTTTCTTTAGGGGTTCTAGAGGGTTTAGGGAGTAGGGTAGCTATAAGTGGGGTTATAAGTCCCCTAATATGGGTTATATCTATAGTTATCCTACTTATAACCCTACTTACGACTACCCATGAACCCAAGTAGGAGGGAATGGGGAAATGGTTTTTGGGGACTATTATTGGGGATTCTATAGGGGCTACTATAGGGATCCATTCGGGGCTTGAGGGTTCTTTGTTCTTGCGGATTTAGGTTTAGGGTTCAGGGTTTAGGGTTTAGGGTTCCCCAAAGGGTTCCCACTTAAGGATTCTCTAAGAGGGGTCAGATCTGGCTCTGTACGGGAGTTTCCGAAAATTAGTGGCACCTTATTTTGGGGTCCTTGTAATAAGGATCCTACTATTCAGGGTACTAGATTAGGGTCCCCTATTTTCGGAAACTCCCCTTTAGGAACTCCAGGCATGTTCACTGGGATTTAGGGGTAGATTTGGGGCTTCGGATCCCTTTCTTCTTCGGGTTTCAGGGGAGGACCGCATGTATTGTAGGGTCTTGTCTAGGGTAGTCGGATTCGTGTTGGAGTTCGAGATGCTATTGTTGCCCTGCACCTGCCTCGGAGGAACAGCATCGAGAGTGAAGCTGTCCTGAGGCGAAGCAAACTACACGGACTGAGCTGAAGCTGGATGGTGCACCCATGGGATTGAATGCTGAACCTTGCAGCACCGATTGGCCTAAATCCTCCACCCCGGAGCACTAAACCAGGATGCCCGTTCTAGACATTTCTCGACGCAAACTGCAGGGATTGCAAGGCAGTCACGCGAAAATGCAGTGTCCTTGCGCTCGCCATGTCCTCGCCACAAAACGGAGCACCAAATGCACAAGGGTTTAGGGCCCAAGTGCTTGCGCTTAAAGGGTTTACAGGTATAAGTTAAGGTCGGTTCAGCGCTGTAGGATTTACATAAAATTACATAAAGGTTTAAGGCTGAACGGTTCAACCAGAGGCTCTTAAGAGTTTAGGATGCAGCGGATTGGGGCTAAAGGGTTCAAGGGCTTGCGATAAAGGAATCTGGGCATGACAAGGGCCCTAAACAGGCAGAATAGGGTCTGGGGGTCCCTTGTCATGCTATAACTATCTATACCCCCTTAGAACCATAATAAAAATGGGAGCCTATAGCTGTAGTTGGAACCCTCTGGAATACCACTAGCAGCAGCTATTCTAGCTTCCATAATCTTCTAAACTCCCATATTGACCCTTGCAATCAACCTTGTACTAGCCCTAGCCCTCACAGAAACCCTTACAGAAACCGTTATAGCAACATGTATAACAACTCCTATAGGAGCCTTTCAAGCGAGACTGCGAATTACGCTATCGGAAGCAAGCGCCCCCTAGAGGGAGCCGGCCCGCGCCTTGCGAGGTCAGTGTGTCGGACCTTCAGGCTCCAAAGCGGCTTAGGGTTTAGAAGCCCTAACCCCTGAAAAGTCCAGCTTCCAGTGGATTGGGTCGGAGTTGAGGAGTAGAAGTTCAGAGCTTCAGGTTAAGGTCGAGGAGTTCAATCCTCCGAATAAAAGCTGGAATAGCGGGCGGTTACGTAACTCCGCACTTCCGCAGCGCACCTGCGATGAGCATCCTGATCTTCCTTCTCAGTGGCCTCTGTCACCTGGAGTCATGTGCCGCCAATCTTGCATGTACGTGCCGCTGACTTTGTACTGTAACTCTAAACCCTTATAAACCCTAAACCCCTAAGCCGGAATCTCTACACTCTACAAACAGCTCCAAACTGCCTGTACCGCTGCACTTAACTCACAAGGCGAGGGCCACCGGAGCGGCGAGACCACGGCCTCCCAGCTCTTCGGATGCTATTTCAGCACACTACGGTGTAGTAATTCCTTCTTGGGCTATCCTTTGCTGTGCCTGTTTATGCTGCAGTGCTTTGCAGCTCTTGCTGCTTGCCGGGATTAGCCGGTAATTTTGGAAGTTGGTGGCGCAGGTTCACATCCAGGCTCCTTATATGTCATGTCATGACATGCTATACCAGTTATGATGCACCACAACTTTTTCATGCTGTGTTCTCATCCTCCATGATGTGCTTCAAGTAGCGACAATGGCCAGGCCTGCCATCCTTGCAGCACGAGCAGCGCGAGCATCCTCAACCTCGCTGGTGCAGGACCCGTCTTCACGGCTGAAGTAAGAATGTAGATGTTGCTAAGCCACATGCCCTCATTTTTCGGGGACGTAACAACAAGCTTCAGACGATCAACCCTTTTTTGCAGAAGAGTGATATTCATGGTTAAGCTCGGGATAGCGCACAACTAAAAACAACAAACACGGCCCGACAGGTCCACATAAGCTCTTGCATGGAGCATCGGGGTCATCTTCACGGGAACAGTTACAGTAATTTCCCAAATTTCTCCGAATCCTAACCTTAATCTGGATTACTAAGTTAGTCATTCCCTCTCCCCCGATCCGCAGAGCCTGAAACAGCGCAAGAGCTGGGATGTCTGGTTCTGAGCCTTCGACGTGCTTCCGCCACGCGCGGTCCGTTCGCCGCCTGGTGCACAGTATGGTAAAGATCATGGAGTGCCAGTGTGTTGCTGTCTGTACTCGTATTTCACGGTACGCTGCGGTTCATTACAGTATGCCTGCCCAATATAGAAGGCCATTCGGGAGGTTACACTAGCTATCGTTTCATATATCATGGCTTACCTGTAAACATTGTAAACCTCACTATAAGATGGAAAAGTGTCTCGCCCGCGCACCCAGAAGCCGCAACCCCCGACGCTGAACACTACGGCACCCAAGCACCAAAACCCAACGGCACTAAACTTCAACACTGCCAAACCGAAACCTGCAGCCCATGAACCCTGAACCCTCGGTCCGGCCTAAACCCCAAACTCCGAACCTAAACTCTCGTCCAAACTCTCGAAATTGGGGGCCTCAAACCCCAGAGGCTAAACCCCAAAAGCCGAAAGCGCCAAGCCCAAGCCTTGCATAAGGGGTTATACTTGAGCCCTCATACGCATACGGGCCGAATGCATGTATTTGCGAGCTAGCTTCCCGCAAACTGGGCTGGAACCTCGAATTATCCGGTGGCAGTAGTACTATGACTTGTTGGCGCCGCGATTCACGCTCCCAATCCCGAACCAGGATTGTTGTGTACATTGTATGCCGAAGCTGGCAAGGGTTTGCAACATCGGATTGCTCTGAAGAGCGACACACCGTCCAGCCGATTCATGAGCCCGTCTACTTTCGGACAACCACGCCGTACAAACACGCTACATCACACCCAGAATGCTCTGAAACCATTTCTCCTTAATGTTACATGCAGCGCATACGGCTTCATCCAAATGCCCCCTGATTCAGACATGCAAAGCAGCTTTCAGGACTGAGGGTTTATGAAGATTAGGGGCTAGGTGCCTGGAAAGTTGCCGAGAGCTTGTGAATGGATCCGAAAGAGGCACCCCTGGCTTGCTGAAGTCAGCCTGAGCTTCGCCCGGAAAACTTCGACCTGCAAAGGGCGAGGGGCCCACAAGGGTCGGGGCTCTCTGAAGCACAGTCCCATTTCTGGGGTCCTGAAAACTCTGCGTCACTCCTGCAAGACTTAAGGGCCCTGTAACAGGGAACACAATGTAGAGTCCCCATTTCCAGCAGATCAGCTTAACAGCCTGGCTGGCTCACTGAGCACGCCGCCACGGTCTACAAGATGACGCTGAATTTTCGCATCGAGCACCAAACAACAGCAGGGTCCCAACAAACTAAATCATCATCAGGATCTCACAACGCACACTGCCGGCTTTCTAGAATCCCACTAATATGTGCATTCGTACCCCAAAGTACTACTACTACTACTACTACTACTACGACGACTACGACAACTACAACTCCCCAAGTATAGTTTTCTTCTCCAGCCTTTAGGGCTCCTCGACAAAGCCCCCCCTCGCCTTACTCTGTCATAGGCAGCCAGACTCCTTATTTTTGGTTAGTAGGGAATGGAAGAATGGGGCCTATATGTGCCAGCATCCGCCGACCCCCCCCCCCTCCCCCCCCCCATGGTAATCCCCCTCCCCCCCCCTGTGGTTCCTGTGGTTCCCCCCCCCCCCTGTGGTTCCTCTTGGTTTTCCCCCTCCCTTTTGTGGTTCTTCTGGTTCCTGTCTCCCCCCTCCCCCCCTGTGGTTCCTGTGGTTCCTCCGCGTGGTTGCTGCTGCTTTGTTGTTGCTGCTGTTCTTCTTCTTGTTCTTGTTCTTGTTCTTGTTCTTGTTGTGTGGTCGCCGGGCTCGGGGGGGGGGGATACCATTGGGGGGGGGGGGGGGGGTCGAGAACGCGGAGCGCGGGCACATATAAGGGTTACTATAAGGGTACTATAATTTTAAGGGCCTTAATATTCCTATAATCTTACCTTGGGTTCGTAGGGCATGGAAGACTGGTAGCAATAGTAGTTATAATTGTACCCCAGTCTTCCATTCCCTACTAGCCAAAGGGAAGACTTACGATTCCCGATGTGTTGAGCACGGGGACATTCGAATAAGGGGGGTTCATGGGTAGTTAGAAGTGGGGTTACAAGTCCCCACTTCGTTACAAGTCCCCTTATATGGGTTTTAAGTACAGTTATCCTCTTATAACCCTAGCTAGTTATCAGTACCCATGAACCTCGGAGTCGGATTCTAATTCTCAAGACCCCTCAAATATGTATCCGGTATCGTAACTTTTCTTGTAGAAGCCATAGAAAGGCTTATGCGGAACCACTCCTGGTAACCCCTATGTTAAACCCGAACACACCCGAATTTCAGACCCCCCCGGGTTCTCGTGTCACCAGAACACCAAGAGACCCTTCGGCGCAGCTGCCTTCTGTCTCTCGTGGTCATACTCGGTGAAATGCCTGACCTGCATGTCACTCTTCGGGAAAACACACTGTCACAGTAGCTACCGGTGTGGCACAAGGTCCGTGTGTATGTATATTGGAGAAATACTTGTGGACACCATGCGTAAGAAACATACATGATGTATTTATACATGTGTAAAGATATATACCATTTCTACGCATTCAGGGGAGTATGCCGTCTAATTAGAATGCAAGCCAGCATGAAAGGAGCACTGGGGCAAAATCCGAATGCCGCCGGCAGCCCCCATGCAAGCCGTTGAAACACTGAGGTCTAAATCAGCAGGGCCTGAAATGCTGTACCCTCAAGTACCCTTCACGGCTCGAAATCTAACATGAAAGCACTGCGCCAGTGAAGCTTACCCTCACTGCTAGCAGCACAGTCGAGAGATGCCACTACGTAGTCTGCCCCGAAAGATTTGCGCACGTCTTGCGGAGTGACAGCCGCTTCAAGCGCTCGTGACCGCTCGCTCCCATACCCTGTATACATACATATGTATATATACATACAAAAATATACGTGTGTGTATGTCATTACCTATGTCATGTATGTACGCACGTCTGTATGTATGTACATATATGTCTCTATATTCATATACCCGTGTGTCTAAATATATGTGTGATATATACACATATATATAGAACATGTATATATATATATAGTTATATATATATATATATATATAGATATGTGTGTATATATATATATATATATATATATACGTGTGTGTGTGCGTGCATTACATTCACGAGGTTATTGAGTAACGTCTAGTCTTACCTGCATGTACAATGCTATGTTGCTATTAATACGTTACTGTTGCTGCTATGCTTGCTGCTATTGCTCTTCCTGAGACTTATTATTCCTATGATTACTCTGACTGCGATTCTTGTTGTGACCGCCCTTTTTGTTGTTGCCCTTTCGGGCTGGCTTTGCAGGTTGGGATGCCGCCTCATCTCTCCCGGAAGTTTTGGAGACACCCCTAACCCCAAAACTGCAAAGCCAGGCGGAAGCGCCACCGAATGCAGCGCAAAAAAGGTTTAGAGTTTAGGGATTGAAGGTGCTTAGGGTCTTTGAGCTTAGAGGTCCACGGAGGTTTAGGAGTATAGGACTTCGCCGCATGGAGGGCGCCTGCAGCTTCGCGAGCTCGAACCACTCGCGCAAGGCGAGCTGCGACGTCAAGAGCCTGGCCGAATGCCGCAAGGCTTCGGGAAGACTGGGGTTTAGGGTCTAGGGCGAAATGCTACAAAGCCTAGCCTAGGTCATTAACGTCCTAACCTCAAACCTCTCAACTATGAATGAATTGGAGACGCCAAACCTTGCTGCGCATGTACATATTTCCAACACATGCTGGCAGCACTCCAAGAGCTGCTCGTGCGTAATGACACCTCAGCACGCACACGCGTCTGGATCCAATGCTGACCCCTTTGAAGGCCTTGGGGGGATGCAGGTTTCAGACCTGGGCTTGAAAGGCTTGGGGTTTATGGTTACCCCAGCAAGCCCGACTGTAACTGTCAAGTTGTCACAGCCCAGGGCAGCCCCCAGAGGTTTCTTGTCGTGGCTCTTACCAGACATGTGATCCACTCTGAGATGTCGGCGGAAATGACACACCGTCTGGGCTTTGACCTGCTAGTGGCTGCTTGTCGTCGCCATCACGTCGCCATCAAGGTCATCCTCACTTCTCATCCTCGTCCTTGCCACCCACCAAGGGTCGTCGTCATCGTCATGGTCACCACCATCGTCGTCATCGTCACCATCGTCATCAACCAATCAATCATTCATTCAATCAAAGCCATTGATTCCTCATGATCATCATCACAAACCATGAAGCGGAAACATCGGTGGAGCAACAAAGCAGACAACGAGAACAATCAAACATCCCGGTACTTATGTGGTGAGTGCCGCCTTGATCAAGATATATCAAGAGTAAAGTATTTTGCTACCTGTGTAGCGCAACATGGGTTATGAAGCTTTGTAGAGAAGGCACATGAAACAGGTGTGCTGCAGTGTACGTCTTGGAACCGTCCTAAGGCCCAGGGACAAGACACATCCGTACCCAGTCGCACAGACTTTGCTTATTACACACGGACATGGCCTAATTACGCCTCAACATACCTTAACACACTCCGACGGATGCACATGACACTGATTACCTTATGCTGCTCTCACCGCCCGGCCGTCACCCCGTAGCGCGGCTTGAGCCCCAGGAAGTTGGCGCGACCAACCACCTCACCACGAGCCTTGGGCCGGGTTTGCAAGAGCCGGGGGCACGGACTCAACCATCTCCAACTTCATACTTGGAGGCTCATGGGTAGCTATAAGTAGGGTTATAACTCCCCTAATGCGGGTTATATCTATAGCTATCCTACTATTGTAACCCTACTTATAACTACCCATATTCCTCCAACTTCATTGGGACCTTAGGGGGCTAGGGGATAGGGGGAGGGGGGGGTAGGGGGCCTTAATGCCCATAATAAGGACCTACTAAGGCCCATTTAATAAGGAAGTATAGTCCCCTACCCCCCTCCCCCTTACTCCCCTAAGGGTCCCTATGACAACTGCCAAAAGAGCCGTAAGCCGCAAAGCCGCGAAGCCTTGAATCGTAAGAACTCACATCCGGACGAATGATCGGAGCCCTTTAGGTGACCTACCAGTGGCTGGCCCAGCACCACATCATCGACTGCGCAAATCGCTCGACCTCTTGGCAGGGTTTAGGCTGGGGTTCTTTAAGGGCTCAGGCTTCTTCAGGGTCGACGATTTGGGGTTTGAGGGTTCACGGGTTTGAGGGTTTGGGGCTTCCACGATTCATCGGAGTTTGCGGTTGTCACGACGCCAAGAGATGCTCGACTGGACGCAGACATGATGCATGTTGCTACAATAGCGCAACAAATGGGGACATAAGTCGAGGGACGATGTCAGACGGGGGAAAACATGCAGTGAATATCGCGAAGCCAACTTCCGGGGCAGTGAGGTGGGCTGAAGAAGCCGAACAGCGAACATAGATGCACGCATCGAACAGTGACTGTACGGCGACCCGTCCACTCGACATCGGGGGCAGTTCAAACGCTTCTATGCCAAAGAAGATTGACAGAGCAGAGTGTGGCTTGCAGACTCTGAGCCCCTGAGTGCACAGCCGTAGCACAGCAGAAACAAGGCGTTGCCCTCCATCCCTTGCCTCGAACGACATTATACGTATGAGTACATATACATATGTATGTATGTATGTATGTATGTGCATATGTGTGTATGATGAAAATGTGTAGACATGGAGATACGTATATGGTACGTATTTATGTTTGTCTGTATACATGTACATGCCTATGTAATGAGTGTATGTTTGTACATACATATATATACACATATATACATATAGGTATGCATATATATATATATATGCATATACACATAGATGTATGCATGTATGTATGTGCATACATATCTTTACGCGTATGTGCCTGGACGTAGTGTGTATATGTATATATATATATACACACACATGTGTATATATATATATACATACATATACACACTATACTAATGAAAAACCACGGTGATGTTGCTTTGCTACCTTTCGCGGAATTGTTGTCGCTCTGAGGAACAAAGAGTGCCAGCAAGTCCGGAGCATGCACAACAAGTTTTAGGGAACCTCACCTCCTTGAAGCCTAACTCGGTGGACTGACTGGAACAGATTGTAAGCAACACGACAGATGGTAACGCATCAAGAACATCAAAGCCAAGCCAGTTCTGAAGACTGTTGTGTGTGATCAGTAAACTGGATGACACATATTAGCGAAGGCTTGGCAAGGTCTGAAATGGCAAGTAAAGGATTCAGCCACAAAGCCCGCACACACACACACACACACACACACACCAACCAACCAGCACAAGCACACCCAAAGTCACACCTGCGCGAGCATGATGCTAGCAATTAGCTGCAAGCCCACGAGACCTGGCCTAACGACATTGCGGTCCGGCAGAAACATCCGCCATTCAGCCTCCTGCATCCAGCAAAGGCCATTGCATGTCAATCTATGCATGCGAAACAGAAAACATGTTGCAGACACGACGCGCCCTGTGGAGCCCACCATATTGGCGACCATCAGGCCCTCTTACCGGAAGAGCCAACATCTCAAGGTCCCAAGACAAACCAAGCCAAAGCCCTGACGCGGCTGGAAGAACCGCTCAAAACCCTAAAGCCTGGAAGCCCTGAGCCCTGCCTCACTAATCCCACTAACCCGAAGCCGCTGCTCTAGATCTGAAAGCCTAGTTTGGCCAGGAATTCTTCCATAGCACTGGAAACTCCAGACATCTGAAATCGTCCGAGCCGTTCGGGCCCATGGAGCGTTGGCTTGGACGATCCCAGACACCCTGCACCCTCATGAAGATAAGTTCGCTTCACAAGAGGAATTACCGACGCGGGTAGCCTTTGCAAGGATCGTATTCTCTGAAGAGGGATTCTGTCCACAGCGACTGCCACCATTCAAACAGAATCCCCGAATCCGGTCCTGCGTCAGCTGGGAGAAATAGGACTGGCCCATGTTGTTCAGGAAGGAAGGAACTTGCTCCGCCTGCATGCATTGTGGACATTGCCGATCGCTGTCTCGGCAGTTTCTGCGATGCACACGGGGAAAGTCTGAATAAGGTCACTGGGATATACGGTATGTTCTATTACTAGCTATGTAGGGACGACAAGTCCGACAGGCATAATCTGAGAATTTCAGACACAAGGGACCTTGAATAGAGATCTTGAGCTGCCGGAAGCCCCCAATATGCACTGCAAAAACGCAATCTAGTATTGCTCATGGTTAAAAATTCCTGCATTCTCCATAAGTGCATAAGAGATGATCTTCCATAGTTACCTAGCTTGTCCTCTCTTCTAGAAGGGCTAAACGTCCACCCCCGTCATTTTTGAAAAGATAGTCAGAATGGATTCCAAAGCCCTGTCCAAGACCTATGAAGTTGACATCTTCGCCTCCTCCGGCCAAAGCGTCCCTTCCAAGCTCTGGATGATCTTGGGCACCTTGCCATCAGGGCGTTGGATTTGTACACATATAAGCCATTGGTAACCCTGTAAAGGGTGCCGGGTTTAGAAACCCTTACCCCAGATGGGTGTAGGGCCCAAACGCCTCACTTGAACATCGTATAAACAACAAACTAAAGGGTTCAACCACTGTGGTTCATAATTGCTAGAAAGCTTCACGGCTAAGGTTTGCTAGGCAAGAGACGGGCCATGGAATTGGTGAAGTGGTAATGCCAACATCTGCAAACCGGCCAGAAATCTTGACATAAAAGGTTTATCATGAAACACACACACACACACACATGCACGCACTGTCTCTTTCTCTCTCTTTGCTTTGCTGTGGGGCTTCTCTCTCTCTCTCTCTCTCTCTCTCTATCCATCCAGCTCTCTGTCTACCTATCTAACTATCTGTCCAACTGTCAATCTGTCGCTTTGTCTGTCTAGCTATCCATCTGCCAATCTGCGTGTCCGTCGGTCTACGTGTCTGTGTCCGTCTTTCATATTTCTATCTGAACGGGAGTTTCCGAAAATGTCATAGTACCCTAAATAGTAGGATCCGTATTATAAGGTCCCCCAAATAAGGTACCCCCCAATTTTCGGAAACTCCCACATCAGCCTACTAGCCTACCAAGCCTTCAAGCGTGACACATGCAAGAACCTCCAGCGGAAAGTTCCGCAGCACACCGATGAAGCGCTCATCCTGCAGTTCAGGTGGGATACCAAACACGGCTGCTACAGCCTCAGAGCTCCCATCAAGTCGTAGCCTACTGCGGTAACATGGGGCCTTCATAGTCAGAGTAGGCTTTGGGTTTATTCTAGAGTAACTATCATCAACCAGGAACCTACATATCGGACATTATTAGACCACTCGGAAGCATGAGGCAAGCAGTGCTCTCCTCAATCTCTGCCACCGCCATCAAGCCAGCAGCCTTGACCTGAGAGTCCATGGTGCCTTCCTGCTTCTTGCGGACGGACACGGAAGGAACAGGGTTTACCTTAACCCGGAATATCCTACCTTTTTAAAGACTTATATAAGGACATCATAATAAGGAACCCCAAAAAAGTATATAGATTATTCAGGGTTAAGGTAGGGTTTAGAAGCTTGGGGTGGCCTTAGCCGACGCTTCAACTCTTTCTCCTTCTCCATCCTTAATCCTCGAAGCACTCGCGCAAACATTTGCTGAGGAGACCGCTGTGACTGGCGCCTTTGCAGCAAGCCCCAGCACCACATCGGCGTTCACCTGCCGAACCGCAGACTGTGCTGATTTTGACAACACGGCTTCAGGGGAAAGCGGAGTTTCCATGCTGAGGCTCCCGCAACCTCCCATTGTTGAAGGCGCCTGTGCAGGGCTAGTTCATCGAGCACGCCACAGTCACACCACCGTAGGAGTTCAGAAACTAAAAGATAAAAGACCCCACTCCAGACCCTACAGTAAAGAGTAAGAGGAAAGGCCCGGGACCTCGTCCTGGATGTGGATCCGCTCAACTCTGAGGCATCGTCGTCGCTCGGCCTGGGCAACGGACAAGTCTACCGTTTAGGGTTTAGGGTAAAGGTGGCGTGAAACTTAAACCCTTAAACCCTGGGTCATCACAAACTTTGCAGTTACACTGATCCTTTCAGTCTCCAACTTTGCCACCGGAGGTGATTCCTGGCAGCTGCGGCTGTCTTTACTGCCCCTTGCACCCCGGCTTGGTGATTAGGGCGGCGGTGACGACAGCATGACCTCGGGCTTCGAGTTGGCAATTGGTTGGTGAGCAAGAACACTTCTAAAGTCTCAATGGCCTGGAGCCAGCAGTACACGAAATGGAATGGGCACCAGTAGCATATTAGTAGCATATCAAGCAGAGTGAAGGCAGCGGCCAAGGCAGCCGGCAATTCGTCGAAACCAGCGCGCAGTTGAAACAAAACCCCGCCTCATCGACCACCGCGATGCCAGTTCGCACCACGAAGAGTGAGCCTTCACAACATCATGAGGTTTCCAGCCAGAACCGCTTCTGTCATCGGGACCGCAAGACCACATGAAAAGGGAATGTCGATGCACCCTGCGCAATGCGGCCTGTCAATCAGGACTTCAAAATGCGATAGGCGACAAACTGCGATGGACCTTTGCTGGTCCTTTACCGACTGGGCCTCGCTTGGCGCCCTTCTTCACCAGGCATTCCTCATGTCTGGTTCTCAAGCTGCACACACAGGACACGCCCCAACGCAGCTGAGGTACGTCCGTCCGCAGCAAGCGCGTGCGCATCAGCGATGAGACCTGCAGCACAAGCGACGTGCGACTGTTCGAACAAAGATAACAACGGGCGACTAGGAGACGCATGAGAAATGTGCATGTCGATGTGTAAATGCTTGCGCACAAGCATGTGTGTATATACATATATATGTATATATGTACATGCATGCGTATATATGTGTACACACATACATATACACACATATACCAACATATGCATACGTATACATACATATATACACATACACATACATATACATACACCTACATACATACATAACTAAACTATACATGCATGCAAGCATCCTTACATGCATACATACATGTCATACCTGCATATGCATGCGTACACACATAAACAAATCCGCATGTGTGACTGCGGATAAACAGGTACGTACCGGTATGTGTACATACATCATATATATATATATGTAGGGAACTGTAGAGAGAGAGAGAGAGAGAGAGAGAGAGAGAGAGAGAGAGAGAGAGAGAGAGAGAGAGAGAGAGAGAGAGAGAGAGAGAGCGAGAGCAAAGGACAAGATGAGCATCAATGTCACCAGTGTGGCCATGTGTCTATGTTGTTTACACGTACGTGTGTATGTATGTGTATATATATGTATATATATATATATATATATATATATAGTTTTATGGAACGGGTATAAGCCCACGTCTATCTAACATGCGGGGACTCTCCACGAGACGCACATACATGTACACATGCAGATGTATATGTATATGTATATGTATATACTTATATACATATAATGCCTGTCTACATACGTACATGCATTTATGTGCCATTAGCGAGCGCGAAGCAGGGCTCTGGTGCCCCGAAGGCCCAGCTGCCTTCTTCCTGAACTCCTCACAGCAGTCAGCAAAGGCTGGCGCATGATGGAGAACCTCAAATCCGAAGGGCATAAACTTTGGAGCTCTGTTGCTTTGTGTATGTCTTTTCTTGTCTTTGTGTTTCCGAGTGAGGGAGGGTGATTGGGGTCTTGAAAATTATGCGCGAGCTTCTGAGGTTTCTACCGTTTCCATTGGGGTTTGGGGTTTGGGGGTCCAGACTTACGGCTTATGATCCTGTTTAGGGCAAGCCGTTTAGGTATTTACCCTCCATCCTGTTCCTATCACGTCCATGACTATGATCATGCTGATACGTGTACTGCATTGGTTTCAACGAGAATAGCAATCAACAAGTGATCACGACAGCGAAAACAAACGAGAGTAGCAGTACTCAGAGTGCCTAGAGTAGGGCAAGTTAGTCTCGACGGCAGCAAGAACAGCGGTGACAGAACGCCGAGACTCTGCTCGGCACTAGCAGGAAGATGACATCAACACACCCCTAGACCCTAAACCCCCTGCGATCTCCCTTTTACTTTCTCTCTTGCATGATTCAAAGCTGTGCGTTCTTACGGTTCTGGGTTAGGAAACTGCAGAGATCAAGGGCCTTTGACAAAAACCATCAGACGGCTATCATGGCCGAGGAGCATTGTCCACCTGGGACTCCAGATAGTTGACCTGACTTGCCCAAGTCTTGCATGGGGACCGAGAGAGCGAGAGAGAGAGCTCTGCAATGCCCTCTCGCCCCTGAGATAGTCTTCCAAGCGAGTTACATTCAGATTCTCCCTCTCCTTCTCTCTCTATCTCTTTATCTCTGTTCTGAGACCCTTGCAGTCAAGTTGTCGAAGTGCTCCGCCTCAAGGTTGTGGGGGGGTCAACGGCAAACAACACGCAAGAGCAGGCTTAGGGGATCTTAGCCGATTGGAGAGATTGGAAGATAGTTCTGGGCTTACGAGGGTTTAGGGCTTCCGGAGTCCAGAGCTTACGGGCAAGCTCGAAGGTTCCCTGTCCAGCCGCGCCTCTGAGGGGAATTGTGCCAAACCACGAAGCAAAACTTGGCGGCTCAGAACCTGGCATCGTGCAGCCAGGGCCAGGTACGCCCCATCACTTCCAGCTTTATCATCATGATAACTAGAGCGAGCTGATGGGAAAAAACTCCTGCCTGCAGCCACCACAATGCACAAGCTTGATGATAATTAACAACGAAAGCACGGTAACTACTACAAACTTAGTCAACACCACTGTAGCCATACCTGCACCTACCAAAGTTCGCTTAGGAAGGGTCCCGCTCGAAGCTGGGACAGCCTACAGCCGGGCTGCTCTGAGACGCTTAAACAAACACTTCAGTTTTCTTGGGTTTTTCCTCAGCAATATAATCTACGAGTACATCAAAAAGTGTGTGAAGAACGGCCCAACAGGCACTCGGCCTGGACGAGCGACATCTCGAGGCTGACTGCAGTCGCCACCGCTCCCTCGGACCTCGGAAGCCGAAGCCAACGGAGATACAGCCTCAGCCCGAATCCTGAAGCCCTAGAGCAGCTTAGGGCAGGCTTTAGAATGCTTGAAACCATAGGGAGAAGTCGAGGCCCCAACACGCCCAAGAGATGTGAGTCGCCGAAGTAAGAGCCGCGGGAGAAGGTCTCCTCAAGGCTTGACTTTCTGCTTGGCTCCTAGGGCACCTGATGCATAGCACCACTGCAGGCATTGGCAGTCTTCCAGCATTGGGGTTCCCTCTAAAGTTCTGACTATACGGGTCTCTGGACAATCCAACAATGCGATCTTTGTCTAGAGAATCGCCGAAAGGGGACGAGCATCCCTAAAGCAATCCTTTGCAAGACGAACTGCCTATGAGAGGACGGGCTACTTCATGCAGCACGTATCTGCGGGAGGCAGCAAAAGACTGGGTCATGTTGCTTGACAGGAACCCAGCTCGAAGCCACAACAGCTTTCCTGAAATTGTGCTTACTACGGACCCCTCGGAATAAGATTGGTCATTGATATTGTTGCGACATTGGCACCCGTGTAAGTCTACTGTCAAATACCCAAACCCTATTCTGACTCTGAAGGCCCATGATCAAAGCCCAAAAGTTTATAGAAGTTGACTCCCGAAGGACTGGAAACCCTAAACCCTAAAGCCCCAAACCCTAAAACCCCCAAACCCTAAAGCTCTAAACCGGTCCGCTGAGCCCCCCAGCCGGCTGCTTCTTCTCCAAGCATATGCTGCCCTCGAGGGTGAGGGGAATTACTTGGAGGGTCGGGGGACTTAGTAAGTAGTTAGTATATAGACTTACAGGTACCTTAATAGGGACCCTAATCGGGGTTATGGTACTTATAACTCCATAAAATAACTACTTACTAAGTCCCCCGACCCTCCAAGTAGGGGTGCTTTAGGGGCTTCTGGTGCTTTGTGAGTTTATGGGACTCGGGGCTCGGGGGTCTTGGGATTCGAGGTCTTGGGGTTCACGGACTTTGGATCTCTACAGGGCTTGGGGTTTCAGGGTCTGGCTGGGTGCGAAATGTTTGGGATGAGGGCGAGCAGTCTGAAGAATGACAGAAAAGACGACAAGGAAGGCGCTTCCAGGCGCTCCTTGCAGACGATGTAGAGGTTCTCTGTCTTCTCGCCCTCTCCTCAAGGATGCAGGGTTTGGGGTTCTAAAGTCGAGGCTGACTCTCGAAACTTTTGCAACCTCGCACATACACAGACCTGCAGTCTTCCGAGCAGCCATCAAACATTTGAGCTATGTCAGAGCAGGCTGGGTTATGAGAGTTTAAACAACATCGATATGGTCCGTGGAAGTGGGATCACCGTTTCACACCTACCCTCGCCAGCCCAATGTACCCGGCGTGGCGCGGCTTCTCCCAAACAGTGCTGGTCTGAGGCTGGTTCTTACTTATGGACCCTTTTCACAGAAGATTTCTACGTAGGACGAGCCCCCATCCGCATCACTTAGGAAGAATCTAAGAGCACCTGTGCCGAAACAGGAGTTGCTAAGATACTTCAGCCGGGCTGCCGAAGAGCGTGTCATCTGAGAAGACGATCCTGGATGCAGTCTTGATGCTGAATACCGTCTTGTCGCATGCGTGCAGAAATGAGTTTGCAAAGCCGCAAAACATAAGCACACTCGAAGCCCTTAACCCTAAAACGCCACCTTCAGAATCCCGTTCAACCCGATCAAACCAACTGTAAGTGCAAAAGAGCCTTGGAAAATGTCTTCACCGCCCCTTCACCCCACTCAAATCCGGAAGATCCTAAATCCTTAACCTCCAACCCAAGATCCTGAACCTTAAGCCTAGACCCCCCAAGTACCCTTTAATATACCCCAAATACCCACTATTCAGGGCCATAAGGAGTCTATTAAACGGCCCTTTTGGGGGGTCTTGGTCCAGCCTATATGGAAGCTTCCGCAAATATGGGACCCTAATGTAGTAACCTAAATAGTAGGATCCTTATCTTAAGGACCCAAAATAAGGTATCCCCTAAGTTTCGGAAACCCCTATCCCCTTAGAGAGCCCTTTAAGGAACCCGATTATAGTAACCCTTTAAAGGAACCCGAAGGTTTCGGAAACTCACCCCTTTACCCGAAAGACCCTAAACCCTTTATAGAACCCTTATAGATCCCTGGATCCCTTTAAAGGAACCCTAAGGTACCCCTAAGTTTCGGAAAGCCTCCCGAAAAGGCGCCTCGGCTCCAAGTTTTCCTGGATCCAATGGATGAACTCGCTGGAAAGCCCGCTGAAGATGGCCAGCTGTGCCTGGGCTACGGGGATTTAGGCTATTAGATTAGGGGTTCAGGGCGTCGGGGCTTTAGGATCCTTTAAGGGGTTTAAGGTTTTAGGAAGCTTGGGGTTTTAGGATTCAGGGCTGCAGGGTTTTGGAGTTTAGGGCAGTGCAAATGGTTAAGGTAAATATAGTATGGGAGGGGTGCTTGACGGGATTTTTACAGGGTAGTTGATTCCGGGTTAGATATACTGGGGGCCTTAATGTTCAGAGTAGCGTTTTGGGCTTGTCTTATCTGTTTCCTTTTGTTTTGAGTGCGGGGAGGGGGGTGGGCCGGTTATGCCGCTCGTAAACTGTTAGTATGCAGACTTTTGAAGTGGTTCATACTAGATATGATTTTCCAGAACCTTCTCAGCTTTAGATTCTTGGACATTCGCGGCGTGGCACGGGGTCTTTGGGGTTTTGCGGCTATCTTTCAGGATTTTTTGGTGCTATTCAGTTCAGGGTTTGGAGCTTGAGGGTCGAGGGGTTTAGGGTCCTAGGGCTCAGGGCTGTCGGGCTCGATGGGTGTCAAGGCTTTACCAATTAGGACTCCAGGGCTTTAGGTTTTGGGGCTTTCGGTTTCAAGACTTTGGGAGTGCACAACAACAAGCGAAATAGCAATGCGACCAATGATGACGGTGGTGTAGCTGACTTTGATGGTTAATGGAGGTGATGAGACTTGTCTCTCAACCAGAACCGATTGGGAGAGTCCCTCACTTGTTGCCTCGCTTCGCCTCACTTCTTCTGTGCAGCTTAGAGGCCAAGTCGATCGGGGAATTCGGATCTTCTTCCAACGCCTTCAGTCTGGCCTTGCTACCTGAAGAGCAAAGTTCAGGGAGAAGGCTTTCCTACACCCTGACTTCATCCAACATCCCTTCCCTACTCAGTAAGCTGCGCACCTAGGAGGCCACGAAGACCCTGGTTGGCTCGCGGTGATGTTAGCGGGGATGGCTCCGCAGTCGTTGGAACAGTCGTGTCGTCGTCCTGCGGTGTCGGTAGACGGTAGACCCCAAAGAAAAGAGCTCTGATTGCCCCCAAAACCGAACGCCACTGGCACCCCCTAGAAGCCCCAATACCACGCAAAGCCGCTGCTGGACTTGGACAAGCTGCCAAGACATAGCCGAATGAACCCTAAAACGGAAATGCAAAACCTCTAAACACAATCTGAGCCCCCACAGGTGAGCCTGCGTTTCTGTCTGCCCGGTGAGCCTGGCAGATCATGTCTTTTCCTCTTGTCGTGGTCCATATATGGTTGTTGTTGAGAAAGGCGGCTTCATTATCATTTCTTCTTGTCATCATCACAGGCGGCAGCAGCAGCCGTGGCGACAAAAGTAGTGCTAGTCGTAGCAGTCGCCGTCGTCGTACTCGTACTCGTAGTCGTTGCTGTAGTCGTGGTCGTGTTTCGTTTTAGCGGTGGTAGGAGTGGTAGGAGACTGGCACGGAGTGGGAGTGGTAGCGGTAGTGGTCGTGATCGTAGTAGCAGTAGTAGCAGTAGCAGTAGCAGTAGCAGTAGCAGTAGCAGCAGCAATAGTAGTAGTAGTAGTAGTAGTAGTAGTAGTAGCAGTAGCAGTAGCAGTAGCAGTAGCAGTAGCGGCCGCAGCAGCAGCAGCAGCAGCAGGAGTAGGAGTAGGAGTAGGAGTAGGAGTAGGAGTAGGAGTAGGAGTAGGAGTAGGAGTACGAGTAGGAGTAGGAGTACGAGTAGTAGTAGTAGTAGTAGTAGTAGTAGTAGTAGTAGTAGTAGCAGTAGTAGTAGTAGTAGCAGCAGCAGCAGTAGTAGCAGTAGTAGCAGTAGTAGCAGTAGTAGCAGTAGTAGCAGTAGTAGTAGTAGTAGCAGCAGTAGCAGCAGTAGCAGTTTAACTTCGAAGGTTGATAGCAGCAGCAGCAGCAGGAGATTAGGAGTAGAAAATTGTACTCTTAGGACCTGCTTCTAACAGTAACTCTTTATGGGGTTCCAAGCATTAAAATACCTGTTATCCCGGCCTTAAAATACCAGTTATCCCGGCCATAAAATACAGTAAAATACCTGTTATCCCGCCCTTAAAATACCAGCTATCCCGGCCATAAAATACCGTAAAATACCTGTTATCCCGCCCCTAAAATACCAGCTATCCCGGCCATAAAATACCATAAAATACCAGTTATCCCGCCCTTAAAATACCAGCTATCCCGGCTATAGAATACCAATTATCCCGGACAAAATACCAATTATACCGGCCACAAAATACCAGTTATCCCGGATGAAATACCAAATCATCTCGACGACCAAATAATAATCATCCCCGGATGAAATAACAGCTATTCCTTTCCCAACGTTGTCACACTGCACTTACCCGACTTACCCCAGCCCTCAAACTGAATCGCAACAATACCCGCAAAAGGATCGTAAGGTTTGTCCAAGGTACAAACTAGTCTGAAAGATCAAAGCCTCTGACCCACAACATTTCGCAAGCAGAACAAAGCATACCCCCATCAATGCATCAATAACGACGGAGAATAGGATGTGAACAAGAATGAACCACAAGGACTGGACTGAATACCGAAACTTATCTGACCCGAAATGCGATTGTCCAACCTGTGTCCTCCTCATAGTTGAAACTGAAAAGCTGTGGCCCGTGGCCTCTTGCCCTATGGGAACCTATAGATCAGAATCATACTTGCAACATCCGTGATCCGTAGCAGAACGGGATGACCCAGTACAACAAACATAGTAATTAGTAATACCGTAATACCGCACCGACATACCAATACCCGGTTATGCCGAACCACTACACAATACTATGTTGCCAGAGCTGCTTTGCCTAGGCGATGTAGGCGGGCCATTACGTTGACCCGTTGAACCTCCAAAAACAAAACCCATCGTAATCAGGAGTTACAGTAGGCTATGTTACTTAGGGCATGATGCCTTTAGATCAATATTTGGTATCCTCCCGATTGGGATGGAACGAGATATACTTTTACTTAGTCCATACTAATTCTCATATTTAAACCCAGAAAGTCGCTGAAAACCCCATCGCGGGCCAATCTCCTCACCGATGTTTTCATTCCGTGCACTCGTCGAACAGACAAGCTCCGCAAGCCCAGGTGCTCGCATCTTGCTCTGCCCAGGGTTCATAATCATATGAGCTGCATGCCATTTCACCTTGATCTGAATCTACGACATACTTTGTCAATATCAACATAACATAACATATCATATTGACATACCATACCATACCATATGATGCGAATCAAATCCCTCCGTATGCATGTGGCTCTACTTGCCTGCCTTGGCCTTGCCACTCAAAATCTCTGTACATCTCTGAGTGAGGCTTGGATGCAGCTTCCATTGGCGCTTCTTGATTCCGGACCATGCTTTGTTGACCAAAGACGTCCGTGTTTCGCCGGTTTTCAACTCACGTGTGCATGCCTGCACCATGGTAGCATTCGCCACCATGGTACAAATGGTTTGCAAAGTCAGACCCTCTCCTGATCCGGATCCGGACTCATGCGAACCACTGAATTCCTGGATTGTCTGAATTACGGCCTTTGCGGTAGCCGTCGTGACCTCAAAGCCGGACATGTCGAAAGAGCCCTTTCCCAACAAAGTCGCCGCACCACTGATCCCGATCATGACCTGCTTCAGCCCTGTGAAGGAATCCAGACCGAAGGCCAGGAAGCGATACATTTTCTGCAACGACTCATCATTGCACAACGAAGCACCAAGAGCCCCGTCCAAGATGCCCTCGTCGAGTGCAGAGTTGAATTCATCACGATCCTTCACATTGGAATACAAGTCGGTCAGGATAGCAATCATTGATTTGATGTCCTCAGTCACCATATCAATCACCTTGCCAAGCAGCTGGGGAGCCTTGTTCGCACAGGACACCACAAACTTATGTGCTGTTTCCTGGCCTGTTAGTTCGGCAGCCTCGTATGCAATCCGCAAAGTGTGCATGAATTTTGCAGTCTCCTGAGATTTCTCACCCAACAACTGCATGCGACTTTTCGCGAAGAAGCTCATAGCCTCAGCAGGGTTTACGGGGCAGGAAGTCACAACTTGCCCGGACACTTGCATGTCCCGGAATTCCCTCGTCCACGTCGCGATGTGGACGACCATCTTGGCCAAGGGCAAGCATGCCCCAGCCGCACAAATCGCTGCACAACAGAGGGGCACGGATTCTCCTGAGGCAGCCTTGAAGTCAATGCACACAAAGTCGGCTGGAAGATGCTTGCCGTAGAGACTGAACATCCCGCAATAATCAACCATCACCTTGTCCTCATCACCCTGAAACTCTCCGACCACATCCTTCACAAGCCCCTCCTCGGCGGATGCCTCATCGGTTCTCGGTCTCGCGAGAAAGGAGGTGAACTGCAGGAAGCTGGAAGACTCTTTGGCGAGCAGCTGCCTTGTATCTGACCAATGTATTCATGCAATTTGGGGATGTATATAATTATATAACACAAGGGGGGAGCAAACCATATAATTTCTTCTGTTTATGCCCTCGTGACCTCATAGCCGACCATGATCTAGAAAAGCTCCGATGCCTATTGCCAATAGCCAATAGCCTATGCCAACAGCCGATAATAGCCAACGGCCAAAAGCCTACCCACCTATCGATGCCTGCCAGGTGCTAAGGAATGCTGTTTTGCAAACATGTTATGCTTTGCTATCGGTAGTCAGCTATAAGTCTATAAGTCTATAAGTCTATAAGTTCATAAATAATCTATAAGGGATATCCGGGGCTGAATAGCACTGATGACCATGCACGAAACAAGCGGCACAGCACGAAGAAAGGGTAAATTGCAAAGCACTACACATCATACCTTAATCATAATCATAATCGTGCAAAATGAGCCTTCTTCAACCGCACCCGTATACCGTATACCGTATACCCGTATCACTGTATCACTGTCTAGATAAGATGCTAGTATGCTGGATCTCCTGTTGTGGCCGTGTGCCCAACTGTAATTTCGTAGTGCAGAGCCAATCGACCTGGGAAAGATACCCTCAAACCAACCTCAACCCTCCACTGGAACTTCAGCATGCCTATCACGAAAAGGGGTCAGCCCATTACGATCAGTACAAGCATGCAGCATGAACAATATCACTGATACTGACTATTGGACTATTGACATTGACGTTGGGACTATGATATTCTGATATTCAGGTTTGCAATCTACATGATGTTGTTATGACATTGTTTGATATCAGTAATGTAATTTTGAAATAGTACGTCAAATCATCGAATCAAACGGGCCATCTCTGATTGGCATATGTTCTACAATCCTACGAACCATATGTAACTGATATGTTATTATATTATATTATATTTATATAATATAACTATTATAATAATAACATATCATCCAATTGCCGCCCAAATGCATAGCACTTCCTCGGATCTTATCGCCAATCTGTGTCATCATCGGACCCAAGTCAACACAGATCTTCTGCACATGCTGCATCTTGGATGCATCGTTGAAAATCTCCATGGTCGCCACCAGGTCGGCGCAAAGCAACCTCTGCACGGCACAGGCCACAGACTGTATGTTCATCAGACCAACGATAGCTGGAGTTGCCGATGCGAAACGGGTCCAGAATGTACGTACCACCTGCAGTGCCTCCTGAATGGGGCCTGCCCAAGCTCCCAAACATTTGTTGATCACATTCACCTGCATTGGATTGAAATTCTTTGCTTCGTTGAGTTGCTCCACCAATTGGGCAGTTTGGTCCGTATCAATCTTGCCTTCGGAAAGAGAAGTCAACAAAACCAAAAGTTTCTCTCCAATGCTCTTACGGAACTTATGCACGGAAGCACTGAGGATCGCATTCTGCAGCTCAACGATCTTGATAGTGACAAGCCTGATCTGCTCTTCGTTGTCCTGCAAAAAGGACTTTGAACCCAACTGCTCAATCAAGGCCAACTTCTGAACCATTTCCACGACTTTGTTGCTCCCTGGAATCATGATCTCCAGGGAATCTGTCTTGAAGAGACTGTCAGTCGAGAAGGTTTTCAGCTGAGTGGACAACTGAATGCACTGGGCCAAATCAGCTTTGAGGCTTTGATCTCGCAGGTAAGCCTCCACACGAGAGTTCGCTTTCTGCTGAATGAACTGACCCAGTGGCCAAAGAGTCATTGACTCAGCAAAGTTACTCTTCTTGTTTAGCAAGAGATTGCGAGCACCCTTCAATTCCTCCACCTTCTCGGCCGTCACGGCCTCGCCCTCGTCGGTCAAAGCAGAGGAAACCAACAGGTGCAACCTGCTGATGTCTTCGAGCCATTGGACGATGCGCACGTTATCCTTCTGCTTGTCGCTCCAGTCCTCGCAAACATTGCTTGCCTTGAAATTGTCGATAAAGTCTAAGAGCAGCTTCATACGATCCAAAGCCACCTTCTGCATGGCCTCGGAAAGGATCAGGACTCGTATGGAACCATCGGACGAAATCGTTTATTGTCCGCATAGATATCATTAATAAACTAATAGGCTAATGGAGTATACATTATACAGTATACAGTATACACAGATAAATTAAAACAACAGAACCTATGAATAAGATATATGATTTTGTGTATAATATATATATATAATATATATATATATAGTCCATCGTTACATTATCTACGGCAATACGGGCTATATGGCTAGGCTATACGTACTCCAATAGTTCATACAGGATTTTGTTTATATATATTATAAAGGAAAGTGTATAATATAACTTTTTAAATTATACAATTATAAAATATTTTTATATAGTTATGGACATGGAATATTAGTTATATCAGTTATATCATATCATTAGTTAACTGTATCTAACTAACAAATCACATTGTATATAAGGTATGTACGGATGGGGTTGTATGATATCAACCTCAAATGCAGGGTCGTTTCAATTTCAAGTGTTTGCACTATAGTTTAGGAACGTCTGGACTCGTAGACATACCATATTCCATACCCAAGAATCCTACAACTTCCCATCGGGGTATAATATAATATAATTAATATTTGTATACTTCATAAGTTGTAAGTCGTAAAGTTTTGAGTTATAAGATTGATTGCCTCCAAGCAAACCCCCTCTCCCGGGCCGGGAGAGGGGGTTTGCTTTTCGGGAGTTGGGTGGGGGTGGGGAAGGGGTGCTTAACGGGGGTGGGTGGGCCTGATCTGGCCCAAACCCTGGATTTGGGCTCCAAATCCCGGGTTTGGGATCATTATTAATTATTATTATTAAGTTATTAATAACTAAATATAATATAAAGTCACTATGCTGACTGTTGCTGACTATATCAGAGGTCATCGAAGTCACATAAAATACTTCGCATTGCAATGGCCAACTGCTGCACGATCAATGTGACAGAAAACAATCCATATTGCAACCAAAGACCTCTAGACCTATGCCTATGCCTATGCCTATCCCGGACCCTAGCCTATCCTGCCTATCCCAATTAAAGTGAACTTCATCTTGTCTCGACTGAACTTCATGCCCAATACAAGGGTGCAACACGACAGGCCTCAGAATCGCCGGACTACACCCAGAGCCAACAGATTCGTAGGCAGAATAGCAAAATTTTTTTATGCAATGTATAGCTACTATACTCATAGTCGTCTATATAATATAGATAGACTAGACTACACTAAACAATACGTTAGAAGTTTAATCATAGTCTCGTCATAGCATTAGCACCCCCCTCCCCCAGCCCCCCCCACCACCCACCCCAATCCTACTTTCTCTGTCACAACAATGTTCACAACAATGAAATTCGGAGCTACGTACCTATTCCGATGTATGATCTATCTGACGACCTGCTACTTGGCGACTGCTGAACACCACATCCAAATCCAAGAACTTGTTGATTCACTTGGCTACGTCACATAAATGAGACAGACATATTACATTATTACATTGTGAGAATCCAAGAAACCTCACTTCGCTTCGACTCATTCTCTGCTTTCTGCTCGGCGGAGATGTTCCCAGACTCTTTGAGGTCCTTGGCGGAATTCTCAAAGCCCGGTGCCTCCAATTCCGCATTCAAGAGTGTCGTCACGGCAGATTTCAAAGAGCAGAACCGGAACTCAGTCATGCCATCAGGATTGTCTTTGAACAATGTCGTCAGGTCGGACGATTCCATTGTGCTAAAGAACTGACTAACCTTGCCGCCTTTGCAGTATTGCAGCAGCAGACGGGCCATGCAAAACTTTTCTGCAGCGGCCGGGATTTCCAAGCCAGCACCTCTGGCCTCTGTCAGCCCTTCGAGCATCGTCTCCGCCGTCGCCTCCTGATCTCTGAAGGCAGAGACAAACTGACACATGGGCCCGATCTCCGTCAAGGCTTTTGCCAGCCTCTTCATGATCTGACAAGCTCGCCCATCCGTCTGCCCATTCGTGAGCTCCCGGTAAATCTTTTGAAGCTCCGGGGTGTTCCGGGAAAAGAGCTTCTCGGAGTGGCCGTACACCTTCTGGTAGGTCAGGCTCATGAAGGAGCTCTCGTGCGAGAGGTACTTCCTGAAGTTGTCATGCTGACCAAGGAGTTTCTCAGTCGCATCCAATTCCTTCAGGTCCTTCTGATTGGATTTGCCTGAACCCTTCCCGCGAGGAGCCTTCAGTCCAAACAACCACGATGCCGATGAACCGAATCCAGAATCTGGGGTGGGCTCGGTATTGGAGGCTGTGTCGCCTCCGCCTCCGAACAACGTCTCGGCCAGACTCGAAGCTTGCAGACGGGCAGATGATGTTCGCTGTTTCTTGGGGGGCTTGTTGGCACCGTCATCCTTCTCAGCCTTCTCAGCCTTATCATGCTTCCCGGCTCGGGAACTTGAAGCAGAGGTCAAGGAAGCAACCCCCCAGATCTGCATGAAGTCATCCTCATCAGCATCGGTCTTGGCTCGCTTGGGGGGGTTCTTAAGGACGATACCAGCCTCAGCGCCGTCCTCGGTCGTCTCCTGATCCACAGCCTGCAATTTCAGGCCTGCACCCAACTCCTGAAACACCTTGTCTGCTTGCTCTACTTCGTCGGCTTCACACTCGGCGGCAACCTGACTCCGCACCGCCTGGGTGTCCGATGTTTCGTAGACTTCTATTGCCCCAGCAGCAAAAGTTTCACGGAGGACGCCCTGCTGCATCTTCCCCATGTGATTCACGGACTGCTTCGGCAGGGAATTCCACAAGTGACTGATATTATGCTTTCGCAAGAGGCTTTCGGACCAGAGGTAACCCAAGAGCCTTCGGGTTTGCATTCCTTGGCGGCTCTCAGCTGTAACACTCGTGGCTTTCTCCCCCTTATACCGTCGGCCTTCACGGCGGGCTGCTTCGTGATCCGAGAGATCCTGTTGGTATGCAGTGGGGTCCGCATCAATGGCCTCCTGGATTTTCTTGGCTGGCAGGCCTTTGAATTTGGGGCACACCAACCCAAAGGCAAAGCAACTCTGGCAATTCGCTGTCGTCCCCCGCCGTTGCAGGAGGTCTCCTTCTTCAGGACGTAGCACACATGGGTTGGGGATCTTACCGAAAGGTCTTTTGCACCTCGTGCAGTGGGTTGCGGTTTGGCGAGGCATGTTGAAACAAGCGAAGCTGCTATGGCAACACGGGCGAGAACCTAGCCGCTACACCTGTCGAGAGAAATCTTGCACATCACCAGATCAGTGTGCTGAGCAACAATAGACGACGTCCACTGCAAAGCAGACTGACCTACGTTTTGCAATCTATCAGGAGGAACAAAGAAGCAGCACAGCTCAAATCTCCTATGCGGTTCGACCGTACTGCCAAGCACACCACTCTCTACGATTCTGGGCACAGACAGGTGAGTGATATCAGATGCATCCCATCAGCTGCAGCAGACTGCTCGAATCTAGTCTTGTTATCGCACATAATCCGCAATCAATGGGTCTTTGCCGCAAAACTGAACAGAGATCAAGCCGAGCTATTCGAATGAACTATGTGCACAAAACTATTCACAAGACTGATAGTTCAGAATTCACATACCCCACGAGCACAGCATAGCCGTACAATGGACAGTGGCGAGCCCAATAAGGGTCCACAGAATCAGCGATTTAAATAATCAACAGTCACTGTACAAGTCGCTACCTCTATCGTCCGAAGCCATCGAACCCACGAACTCCTCGGTGCTCCAGCCGCAACCACTCGCCGGCCCGATCAAGTACTGGTAGCTGAGGTAGAGGGAGAAGTAGAAACCACGACTCCGGAATCCGATGATGCCCTCTTCCGTGAACAGCTGAAAGCGCCACGGCCCCGCTTGAACACCATCTGGTTTGAATCTAAACTACTTTTCATGGACATGTAACATGTAACCATGCAGTCTTCAACCGGGCGATCCCGAACGATGGCTGAAGCTTCTTATTCCCAACCACTCCTGACTTCTGCTATCGTGGATCAAGGGTATGATCAGGATATGATATGATATGCTGATGATATGATGGTACGGTATGCTGACTCAGGCTACTGGCTTGGAATATTCCTGCCTCCGTCATTCCCTCTGTCGACAAATTGCTAGACTAACCTCAATGAATCTCGAGACACAGGACGAAGTATCCCCGAATAACAAACAGAAGATCAAATCAGAATAAATTCAGAATAAAGAATCATCCCTGGACGTTGTCAGGCTTCTTAGGGGAGTGCTTTGGAAGGTCGCCTCGAAGGGGCCTCGAACGGGCCTGGAAGGGGCCTGGAAGGGGCCTCGGGGGGGCCTAGGGAGGGGCCTGAATCTAGGTTTTAAAATACCTATTTCCGGCCCGGCAATAGGTATTTTAAAATGAGCATGAGGGGGGTGTTGGATCCGAGCGAGTGATTAGGATAGTGATAAAATACCTACAATTCTGGGTAGGGATAAAATACCTGTTACCGGGCCGGAAATAGGTATTTTATCCCTACCCAAGGGGGCCTTCTGGGGTCTTCTTGGGGCCTCCTGGGGACCTCCTGGGGGCCTCGTGGGGGCCTCTTGGAGGGCCTTTTTGGGGCTCTTGGGAAGGCTGTTTTGGTGCCTTGTTGAGGGCCTTGTGGCGCCTTTTAAGGGCCTCTGTTTCTTTTTGGGACTTGCTTCAGGCCTTACTTGAGTCTGTATCCTACACCCTACAAACCAATAACAACACTACATAACATTACTGGTTCATCTGTGTTATTGCAAGCAAGGGCAGGTGTTTGGAAGTAATGTTACTTTTCGGGAAGGTCGGGAAGCCCAATCAACTACGTTCATGCCTCAATCCTGCCTACGAAATCATACGGATCTTTCAAGGCTAATTGACACTAGGCAACACTTGCAGCTTGTACCCTGTATGCTGAAGAGCACCACGAATGTACCAGCCTTTGTTTTCAACGACGATGGCCCCTGTTCTCGAATGCTTCAAAGCCCGTATTGCTAACTCGTGAAGGGCTGCACAGACACCGGTCGCAGATCCTATGTAAGTGTACCGTATGTACACTGAAGAGAGTATAAGATAAGTTTTAAGTTTTAAGTTTTCAATATTCGCCAGGCATTCTACACTCTACAGGCTGTACTACACAGACTATACTATAAACCGCTTATGTATCCTATATAGTCTGTATTTATATTATATGTAGTTATAAATGAATTCTATAAGGTGGTCGGTACAGTATAGTATAGTCAGTCCAGTATAGTCTGTGTAGCACAGCCTGTCTACATTATAAATATATACAGTACATGATAACAACTAGAACCAATAAATACATATTAACAACATCTACATAATACACAGAAGACTAGAGGCCGAAAAGGGGACATGAAGGGCATCGTGGTATGCTTCCCAGGGAGCTATACTTAACAGGCGAACTGGTCAACGATACTCGGCGACCCTACAATTGTGCACTGCAAAGACGTGAACTTGCAAAGATTCTCGCTGCAGAGTGGGTGATTCGATGTGTATGACTGTATGATGATGTGGTCATGATGTAGCGATACACAAACCTCGGGCCCAACACTTCATTGGTCTAATAAGCCCACAGGAGCCTGACGGATTGAATTTGAATGTTCTTGAACTACTACCCACAATCTAATTATTCTTTTACGAAGCCACAGACTCATCACCGGACCCCGGAACCTGACTTCCCAAAACCCCTGGACCCTGAAGATCCGAAATCCGAAATCCCACAAAAGTGACCCGGAAGTCTTAAGCCCTGCCCCAAGATATCGCACATGCGAGAAATCCGTCTCGTCAATCATAAATACGGTTCTATTATCCCGAATTATCCCCAACCCATTCATCGACGAGGCCGCACAGAAGAAACTAAGGCTACTTCAACATCTCAAACACAGTCCTGGGTTTGCCTCGTTACTGACTACTTTCAAAGCCCGTACACCATATATCTTATACCGAATCACACCGACCAACACCTACCTAAGTACAAACCCTAAATAAATCTACCGAGACATCCACGACCTGATCATCCGGAGCCCATGCAGGGCAGTAAGTTGCCGAGCATCCAGGCAGGCATAGTGCTGCAGCTGAGTGAACCGGAATCGGTTCAAGGAAAGCCCTTCCGAGTATCAGTCAATATATCTTAATATATTAGTATATCTCATATCTCCACTATGTCATAGCTATATAGGGGACAACTTTGTATACCGCACATATACATATATATCTGTATATAATATTATATATAACCAATTTAGATATTATTAAATTATACGTATATTGTATACGATATATACATGATACTTTATGATTAAATTATATAATATGACTATATACTGTCTAATACTATGGCCTGTCTTATACTCGTCATAAAACAAATAAAATATGTATATATATATATATATATATATATTATAATTATAATATATATATATATATACATATGTTTCTTTGTTTTATGACGAGTATAAGACAGGCCATAGTATTAGACAGCTTCGTATAACAGTACAACCGTAAAACCTACATAACTTACATACCCATAAGACAATAGACCATGTGACCATGGACCATATATTGTTAGTGATATTGTTATTCTATATTAGTCTATAACTATGACTATAACTTAACTATGACTATAACTATAACTTAATCAATCTACTGACATTACTTCATGTAACTAACGACTGATATAGACCCATACTGCCGATACCCACGAGGTCCCAGAAACGACTTCGACCCAAGCTTCTGAACAATACTAATAGGCGAACATTCAAACACGGACCCTTGGATCCCTTTGTAGCAGCACTGCCCCCTGAAATGGTTCATGTGGCCTTTCGAATTCGCATCCCCAAGACCTGCCTGACCTCGCGGGACAACTCCGTGTGTCGTTCGGCCGACACATCTGCAGACAAACTTAGCCACTCTATGAGTTTGCCAGCATTCGTGCAGGAGTTGATGATACATTGGCATTGCCTATGTCTGGAGCATACAGCTTTGTAGACGACACGATCTCTCTGTTGTAAAAATGAAATGCGGCCAATTACTTCACGATTGCTGCCCACTTGTTCCCAAAGCTCGTACTGAACAGACCCATGTTTGCTCTCCAACAGCCTGATTGGGTTCCCTGCTGACGTCCTTCCAATGATGGTCTCAACCAGATCAGAACCACGTCGTGTAGCCGCCGAAGAGGATGAAGACGAAGGCTCGCAAATGTCTTCTTCCTCGGAAGGATGACCCGGAACAACTTTTCCCAACCTTCTATCTATCTTATTGGAATCTTACTGATTTGGATTGAGTTGAGTTCTTGAACCTAAGCGCCGATACACGAGTCTTCATCGACGAATCGTCGGGGGTGGGAATGTTCACGAAGCTACGGCAACTTGTGCAGCCTCGATATTAAACCGAAACACCGAAACACAATAGACCTCACCATATAGTCTACAAGAACTAATCCAAATAATTCTGTGCTTCCTTGATGATTTTTTAGATATATTATATTATTATATTATCATACCGACAACCCATACAATTTACTAATTTAATCTACCTCTCATTTCTCAGATTAATACCGACCGATATTTGAATATTAGCGAACCTCCAAGACCTAACCTAAATCTATGAGATCCACGACACGTAGAGCTAAGCAAAACGAGGAAACCCAAATATATTCCTTTGCCAACCTAGTGGAACAATCGGCATAGACAACTAAGACATTGATGGACTATTGACTATTGACTCTTGGACTATGAGCTACTGACTAATTGACTAGTGGCTATTGGACTTGGACTGTTGATTGAAACCAACCAAAGCTAACCGAAGCAATCAACCTTTCAACCCAAGACCAGGGTGCCTGCGGGAGCGAGTCCTCGCCGAAGTCAATAGGTCCGACCCCTGCAGCATCTGCATTGATCTCAGCATCGTTTGCAACACCATCTGCAACATCGAATGCATCTTCGCCCACCGCTTCTCCCTGAACCTGTTCGTCGTCAGACTCAGGAAACTCAGCATGGGGGCAATTCTCCACCTCGCGACAAGTGTTTACTGCTTCCTGTAGAGATTCGCCAAAGGTCGCAGGTATCGTTGCAGACATCACAGGATCCTGCAGCAAACTATCCACATCATTGCCAGAATGGCTTGATTCGGGCTCTGGCAACAGGACGTTATCATTGACTTGAACATTATGTTCTTGCAGGAGCAACTGCAGTTCAGACTCTAGTTCATCTTGCACAGAAGCAGGATCGAAAGGTAGCGAAGCAATCAACCGCTGCCGTACTTCCGCAGACGTGTGGCGACCCCCTCGCCCCCTTCCTCGCCCCCGGCCGCGAGTAGGCCGAGGAGGGCCTTCCATTACTTCTGCAAGCAAGTCGAAACCTTGGTCGGGTGCAGCATCAGGAAGCACTGCTGCAGAGTCTGGTGCAGCCACAGGCGGATCTGAATCTTCTGGCTGCTCTTCATCTGGCAACAAATTGATGACGATATCTCGCGAACCTATCCACTTTCCAGTCACTTCTACAGTGCACAAATCCACATTCCTGAAAGACATTCTCGAAACCGTCACAAGCTCAGCTCCGACATCATCTGCAGCACTAAGCAAGGATTTGGCAAACGACTGCTCTGTTTCGTGAACCAATGGACCATGCTGTGAAGCTGCCAAACACCAGGGAACCCGGGAACCTAAGGGAGGACCTGATCGTAGAACCACTCGAACATATCCCTCCTCCGCCTGGGCACCCGTCTCGTCAGTCAAAATGAAAATCTGAGACGGCTGGTGCACACCAGATCGTGCACTCAGAGCGGTCATCCAAACATACTGGTGCGACAAAGCCTGACCAAGGGTAACCTTCAACAGGATATCTGATTGATGGCCGGCTCCTGCCACCTCAGTAAATGCCTGCAGCAGTTTGAGGAATGACAGTACTTCTTGTGGGGAGGCTCGATTTCTACAGAAGCAACCACAATGGCCGTGATAGGTTACCCGATCTGGAAATTTAGATCCTTGTGGGGGAACACTGAATCGTTGCGACTCTCGATTGAACTGGCCCAAACATTGAGCCCACGTAAGACCCCGATTGAGACTGTCCCGCCACCACGATTCCAGTTGACCCTGAGAGACAGGACTATCCCTCAAAACCTCATCGACCAGATCAGCGGCTGCAGCTTTAGGAGACTTCACAACATCGGCCACTCTCTTGCACAATGCTCCAACATCCTCTGTCACAGCAGCTTCAGAAGCAAGCAACCACGGGTTGTATGGAATCGATGACGAAGTGCCAATCTGCAATGGCTGCAGCCCGGTCGCTGTGCGACAGCAGCTGGGTGTGCTCCTGGCACGGCTAGCTGCTGAGTCTCAGCATCGGCGGATGGATTTGCACCTGTGCGGCCTCGAGACAAAGCTCTCTTCTGTTGGCGCCTTTGTTCACACTCCCTCTGGCTTTGTTGAGCTTTCTCCTCGTAGTATGCTTTTTGCACTGGGGCCAAAGCATCCCACTGACCCTGCAACACATTCCAAAACTGTTTACTGCACGGATTCAAAGAAGTGTTGGCAGTCCGCAACAAATCATCACGGAAGAACATGTATGCCGATTTGGAACGAATCTGCTTCTCTGCAAACGATACAACCTGGCGGCGGTCAGCAGCTGCAGCAGGTTTACAGCACATCTGTTTCGCCTGATTCGATTGCAAAGATTTCAAGTCCTGGGAAGCCTCCTGCACACAAGCCTTTGCCTCTGCATTGATGTGTTTAGCCGTCAATGTCGGGAAGGGGCGATCGCACCAATGCCGTGAAAGTGCATGCTTACACTCAACATCAGCAATCGTCATCTGAAGCAGTCGGCCGTAACCTGACAACAGCATCTGCCACTTCGGCTCTGCACACAAAGTGTCTGCATCAATGCCCATCTTCTTGAGAGACCGTGCCCATCCAGCAGGCACACAACAGCTCCAAACCTCATCCCATCGATGCTTGACTGCAGCGACGACTTCGGCAGAAGCAGAAGGATCACAAAGCTGAAGCAGTGCCCACGGAAACTCCTCCCAATACACAATGTGGCGCCGAAAAACCCATCCAGAAAGTGCAAGCAGAACACGGCGCAATGCAGAGACTTCTTGTGGACAGGTAGAGCACCACTGGGCCAAAGATGCACAATCAGAAGCTTGCCAAATCATACATAATCTGCCGCCTCCAGCCTTGTCCAGCAGCTGATGGGAAATGTTGTGAAGCACGGCCCAAACGATGCTGCTCCGCTTGTCTAGAACTTCACAGATCGCAAACTTATCCGAAACTTTCTTATCAGGTTTCAAGTTTCGCAACCAAAAGAAGACTAAGCGACGTAAGTGCTCTGATACCACAAGCCAGCATCTGGAGGACCACCGTGCATCAACACAATGCAAGAAATTCTTGCTTGCTAGGTACCGTTTCCCCTGCACAGCATGGAAGAACAACCCCTCCACCAATCTCGGATCGGCCTCGTCGTGATTCATGTCTGCAGAGAACATGACAGGCTTGAAGGCGAGATCGAAGATGATTGGAAGAAAGTTGTTAATCAAGATCCCCAAGCCAACAAAGTCACTAGCAGGGAAAATCTTGGTCCATTTGTTGGGTGCAGGAACTGAAGGCAATGTTGTAAGCAGCAGATCTATGAATGTACTCGACATCTTCCGGGCAGCTTCTTCACGACTGTTGCAATGACCGGCACTACAATGATGAACTGGATAGCCTGAGAAACTACCGTTCCACATTCCCATAAAGGCTTCCAATCGCTTCTCAAACTGCGAAGCTCCACGATGCACCTCCTCATCGCCTGAATCGGCGTCCCGCCCGTGATGCCAAGTGCGCAGAAAGTCCACGGTCTCGCTCATTAATGGGTCTGGCGAGGCTGTTACATCTACAGGTCCACGCAACACCAAATGCTCCTGGGGAGGTCTATCATCGCAAGCAACTCGACCCAACAGTTATCCCAGAACAAACCACAACCACTACTGACAACTCCCACCTAAAAACTATTCACCAAAACAAATATAATAATTTAATATAATATATAATTTATAATGTAGCACAACAAACCACCACCACAAAACAGAGCACCATCACCTAAAATTCATTACACTCACGTACCGTACCCTATATATACCTGAATGCTCCAAACCCAATTGCCCATCGCCAAATAATTGCCCAACTCCTGGATCCACTGTTGTAGTGCTATCTGGAGGCGAAGCAAGTAACCGAGGTTCCTCATGAACACGGTCAGCCCGTAATATCTGTTCAGAAGATTGTTGCCTATCAAGGCTAACATGGCAACTGATATAAGGTGTGTAGCATGCGATTGACATCGAGCCGATTCAAGAAAGACACCGTCGGAGCCCTTGGAGGGCTCAAAACCGTCCAATGACAAGAAGTGATTGTGTAGCCGGATGTTTGCATAGGCCCCATCGACCTCATGGAGTGTAGCTGCCAATTCCGCAGACTTCTGAAGCAACCTGACCATACGATTGATTGTGTAGAAGCTCGGGTGGAATTCTAGGGCATAGAAAATCTGTTCAGCAGTACAAGTCATCATAGGTATGGTCGGCATCACAAGTCGAAGCTGCATCATCGCCCCGCTGGGCCAGGAAATCAATATTCTGGCTCTGACCACCAGCACAGACCATGCTGATTTAACACTTTGGCTCGTGCCGCCCGGATTCAAAGACGTGGATACAGTAGTCTCATCCCATTTCACATGGTGATGAGTGCAAGTTGGAGGGTTGGCCTGGCAATATGCACACAGACGAGCCAGAATCTTGGCTTGCGATGCCATGTAAACCCCTGCGCATGTCTTTTGTAATCTTGGCACATTCGAGCTGTCAATGTTCATCATTGCTGCCAGGGCGATGTTGCTGCTTTGCATACCGAACGACGATCTGATGAATGATGCCCAGTGAATCTTTCGCACAAATCTATTGCCCTTCCTTGCAGCCCCATGCAAAGTGATCTTCAGACCGCAGGAGCCACCCTTCACAGACAGCTGAAGAGTCTTGCCATCCTTGACAAGAACTGAATCCTGAAGTGTCTGCACAATTTGCTCGGTCTGCTCGAATGCTTTCTTTGCTCTTTTCTCAGATCGCATATGTGCACAAACACTTGCTCGCTCCACTGCATCACCATGCCGCCCTCGTCCAACCTTACCAGCCATCGAGTATTTACGATAACTGCTCGCGGGTGCCACCTGCTCTCGGGATTCTACTTGTACAATCTGCTGATCTATTCCCTGACCAACAGCTTGCAAGGCCTGCCCATCCTGGATTCCAGATGGTGATTCTTCCCCAGAAGATTCGAAACCCATCAGAAAATCAGATGCATCAGCTTCTGCATTAATGAAGACATCAGCAGGCGAGTCGACATCATCGGATGCAGAACTGAAGTCCATCTCTGCGGGCAGCAGTAGAGCCCCGGGTGGCTATGGAGAAAGAAACTTATGGAAGAATCGGAGAATAAGAGTGCACTATAGACTATAGACTAAAGATTAAATTATAGACTTACAGATTATTAGTTAAGCTATTCTGAATTATTCTATTTCATTTATAATTTTTCTTCCCGGCTCTCCCGGCTGGGATGCTTGTCTCTTGGAAGGGCTCCTGGGAAGGTTTTGGCAGATTTGGGGCTGTTCGAGGATAGTGCTTTGTGCCCGAGTTAGACATACTGAGATGCGAAGGTCATCTTTCGCACTAGACGATTTCAGATTAGTTAGTTGTTACATTTCTTGCTACAGTCGGAATAGCTAGTAGGTAGAGCCTCGAAAGGACACTCGGCCAGCGGAGACTAATGGTCGATTGTAGGTGATCGAAAATTATGCCGTTGAGTGTCCTTCCGGGCTTGCTTTCAATAGATTCTAGGGGTTAGGAGGTTGGAGCTTGGGGACGGGTCGTATAGATATATTTTTGATGATTTAGAATTTAGGTCGGCAGGGCTCCGGCTAGCAGCAGATAGTTTCGAGTCTTGTGGATGTCGGGATCCTACAAGGCCGTGCTCGGACCAATCAGAGCTGATAGCCTATATTTTATCTATTATTTTATGGCCCCGAAATAGGTATTTTACCACCCCGAAATAGGTATTTTATCACCCTCGAAATAGGTATTTTATCACCCCCGAAACAGGTATTTTAAACCCCGAAATAGGTATTTTATCACCCCCAAAACAGGTATTTTAAACACCGAAATAGGTATTTTATCACCCCCGAAACAGGTATTTTAAACCCCGAAATAGGTATTTTATCACCCCCGGAATAGGTATTTTATCGCCCCGAGAGCCGTATTTTATCAGTATGTACGTAACCCAACGGGTCGAGGACATACCTCCTAAAGAGGGTGGGGCAGTTACTGTTAGAGGCAACCCCTAATTGTACTCTGATCAGTACCATGCAGCAGAGTAGGAGGTGTAAAAAGCACTCGCATCATCACGACGCAGCAGCAGCAGCAGTAGTGACCGTGTTGTGGTGATGCTTGGCACAGCTACCGTCACTGCGGTCATGAAGCATGCATCCCTGGTCTGACCTTCAAACCCCTTTCAGAACAAACTGGCGGCAGCCACTTCGCCACTGGCATTGCGGTCAGAAGCCCGAGGATGCGCTTCATGGCGGGGTAGTGGTCCTAGGAGCTCTTCGCCGCAACCATGTGGTCTTGTCACTTTGTCTTCGAAAACCCACTTTGATTTGGACAGAAGGCGACACGGCATGAACAGAGAAACCCTACAGCCTCAGCTCAACGCTAGGGATGTCATCAGCACCGTGCGAGGCAGCACCCAAACTTCGCTGACACGGACGCACCTCAGAGCAGGCTGAAGGTTCACGGGTCGCAGGACATACGGGAGTTTCCGAAAATAGGGGACCCTAATATAGCACCCTACTTGGTAGGATCCTTATTATAAGGACCCAAAATAAGGTACGCCTGATTTTTGGGAAACTCCCATACCAGGACCTGTAAGCAGCCGTGACATGGCACGAACACGCGTGGACGCTTTGTTCGTCCACGGCACAAGGTCTCGTAGGCCGGGATGAAGGGTCCAGCTGACAGCGCAAGGATGTGCAATGCCTGTGGCATCAGAATGTTTCTGGAGTCCACTTGAGAAGAGGGCGACGAAAGCTAGGTGAAAAGAAGCGTAGCTGGGAACACGGGGTGACTAGTGAGGCGATGCGAATGACTTGCACGGGGGGGACGTTTGACATGAAGACTACAACTGAAAAAAAGGCGTGGAGCCAGATTCTATCTCCGAGTTCTGGTGGCTTAGAGACAGAGCATGTCAAGGCGCTGAAAGATTTCAAGAGAAGGTCAGTCTTTAGCAAATGCGCTAGCCGCCGACAATTGTGACGAAGCGCTGCGAGAGAGACGGAAGAGCTGGAGCCAAGCCGCAGCGCAAGCAACAGACTTCAAACAGAAGCAAACTGAGGGACCTTGCGAGGGGGGGGGAGGGGGAGAGACTTGAGGGTAGGGGGGAGGGGCCCCCCCCGCCTTCTACCTTATCCCACGCTCCGCAACCTTGGAGGGAGCGCCGCCAAGGTGAATTGCTAAAGGACAACTCCCGCAAGCTCAACAGAGCTAGCTTTCGTGAAAAGAACTGCTTCGGGCAAACCAGAACAGCCAGGTATACTCCCACGAAGAAGATGCTTGCGTGAGAGATGCGGAAAAAACGACAGAGCGAGAGAGAGAGAGAGAGAGTCAGTCAGAGAAGGGCCCTGAACACTACACTCTATAGCTATAACTCCGAACTCTAAAGCCGGAACCCTGCCTGGCCGTGGCGGTAGGTGTCCTGACCGGTGTTTTTTGCCCGGTTCTTCACGAGTATAGCCGTATACTGACCGTCGATAACATCACTCCCAGACAATAACGGGACATGCTTAGATACAGCTGACCCGAAGCTTGGAAGCTGAATTCCTCCTTTTGTAGAGAAGTGTCTCCATAGTTTATTGGCGATTTCCCGAAAGCCCCAAGACCACTCTGAAGCTGGACCCTAAGCCCGACGGCCTCAGGAGTTTCAGAAGATAGATAAATCGAAAGTACACCCTTAACACCAGGAGTTGATCCCGAACAACAACCCAAAAAAGGACCCTAATGTCCGCAACCAAATCTCATGACAGTTTCACAGCCAAGAAGCCAGAGTGACGCCTGCCATTCTGATGCAAACCTCTCCACGAAGAACAACCTCAAGGCAGTGCAGGGTGAGCGACCCTGAGCTGGTCTGGGCTGAACTAGCCAAAGCTAACGTTAAACCCCTATCTAAACAGCCAAACCCCCTAAACCCGAAACCCGATGCCCTATCGCCTCACCCCAAAAGCCCTCAGCCCAAAACCCACACCAAACCAAAAGCCTAGAATCCTAGAAGCCCCCCTCTTCCCCTTGGACTCTCAGCCTCTAAAGTCTCTGAAGCCAAGCGGCGAAACACGCTTCCGAGCGACACTTCGGCGGACAAATCTGCTGGCCCTCCATGTAGAAGCCTCCGAGTCTCTATCTATATATATATATATATACACATATGTATATATATATATATGTGTATATGTATATATGTGTCGTATATATGTGTACGTATATATGTCTATCTCTATATCTATATAATATAAGATATGTATAAAGCCACCAAGTCTTGAGGGCTCGGGGTTGAAGCTTTTAGGGCTTAGGGTGAAAGGGTGTAAGGTTTGAGGGCTCAAGCCTTTAAGGTTTCAGGGCTTAGGGCTCGGGGTTGAAGCTTTTCGGGTTAAGTAGGCTTGGGTTTACGTTTTCGGGGTTTTAGGGTTTAAGGCTTAATCCACACCCCCTTTACTTCAGGGCCTTTTTGTGAGAATCACCAGGACCATTCTCAGAAAGGGCCTGTTTGTCCGGTGTGTACAATCAGCTTTAGGATGTCGGGCCGGCCCTCCATGAAGTAGACTAGGTCAGTTTGGCTTCCGCAGGATTATATGAAAATGAGGATTTAGCAAGGTTGTTTAAAAAAGGCATTCAGGCTCCCGGCGTGAAAGCCTCTCAGGCTTAAGGGTCTAGGGCTTGGGGCTTCAGGTTTGGAGTCCTGTGGGTTTCAGGGAGTAGGGTCTCGGCCGGGAAGCTCCTGAGCAAGCAAGCTGAGAGCGGAGTCTTGCTAGTTTGGTTGCCTGCGTCTGCGTCTATCTAAATAAATGAACGAGGTGAAATATATATATATATATATATATATATATATACATGTGTGTGTGTATATGCAGACACATATATGGACACAGAGAGAGACTATGCGTGTGCAATGTATACTATCCGCACAGAGCGCACATGTAGTTTGTAAGTATATGTGCGTCAATTTCTCTCCGAGTCACGTCGGATTCCGCCACGCAGAAGTGAACTCATGAAGGCCTGGCAACTTGCCGAGCGGTAGTAGTGGTAGTAGTGGTAGTAGTGGTAGTTGTAGTAGTAGTAGTAGTAGTAGTAGTAGTAGTAGTAGTAGTAGTAGTAGTAGTAGTAGGAGTAGTAGTAGGAGTAGTAGTAGAAGTAGTAGCAGTAGCAGTAGCAGTAGCAGTAGCAGTTGGAGCCGTAGTAGTAGTAGTAGTAGTAGTAGTAGTAGTAGTAGTAGCAGTAGTCGTAGTAGTAGTAGTAGTAGTAGTAGTAGTAGTAGTAGTAGTAGTAGTGGTAGTGGTAGTGGTAGTGGTAGTGGTAGTGGTAGTGGTAGTGGTAGTGGTAGTGGTAGTCGCAGTAGCAGTAGCAGTAGCAGTAGCAGTAGCAGCAGAGGCAGCAGGGGTGACAGCGATAGTACAGCAGACTTCTCAGGGCGGCTTTTTGCAAAGGGGACCCAGTATAGTATAGTATAGTATAGTATGGTAAATACCCCCCAAACTGCTTCATCACCCCGATAGAAAAACCCTTTGGATAGGATGTTCGTCGTGCCTCATCCAGGCCCCTGAGCAGCGGCAGGCAGGTCTCCAGCATCTCAAACTCAGTGCAGATGCTGAATAACCAGGGATATGCAAATCAATAGCACGAATACAACACTAATAATATGCTAACCCTAATAAGTATAGTAATACCAAAAACAATACTAATAAAGTTTGATGTTGAGGTCTGACAAATTGGTAAGCTGCACCCCCACAACAGAAGGCTTTGCTTTGATCATTTCGGGGGCTCGATCCAGGCTTGAACTTGATGTTACGATCCCGTGTCGCAGAGAAGTGCAATGCTCTTCTTCCACCTGACTCGACAAGCATTGTGACTTTGTTCAGAGGGTGCCACGGTGGGCAGCGGGTGATCGGGAAGCGGCTCGTTCTTGTCCATTACCTCAAACCATTAAAGCCAACACCAATGTGAGCACAATGCGTTCAAACTTCGGGTTTGACGACATGCACTTACATCTGCGTGTCTTGTCTCGGACCTCCTCAAGTAGCTCCAGCACTTCTGTGGCCTCGCGGGCATCGGA